ACTACAGATATTGCATTTTTGTTTACAACTAATAAAGTGTTTTATGTTGTATTTAAAAATCCAACCTAGAAACCACATAGTACTGCTTAAATTCTTTGAGGGTCTCCTGCTTTCTCTTATCCATTTGCTTAATGTATATCCATCTATGGGGGCTTTGGGAATATAAATAAACTTAAAGATATAACTTGAATACAGAATATCACATAAAGACATCATGTTAGCATTTGCAGAAAAGAAAAACTGTAGACCCTGACAGTTGTGATATTTGGTGGTTTCGCGTTGTAATGTAATTTTCTGTTTGATTGCAGAACTTTTTACAGGCACAATGGTACTGTCTTTTTTTGTAAAATGCTAGTTGTGAAATACAGTTAATTGCGTACAGTAAAAGTCTGTGATTAAAACAGTTATATACCTCATTCTTTAGTGTTGTTAAATGAAAAATTAAAAGTTGTTCTTACTACAAGGTACTTTCAATAGAACCCCAACTAACTGCTTCTGTTCTTTTAAAACATGAAATTTTTTTGGTCATTATTCTGTTTTTCATAACACATGCATTCATTTTTTTAGACATAATAAAAAATTACAAATGATAATTTTATAGGGAAAATATTCTAATTTTTAAGTCAACACTATGGCTTTGAAGGCACTGGTCCATCTTACGATGATCAGGTACTTTCAGGATGTATTTTAAATGGACTGCAAGAGAGCGAGAAATCTGACAGAAGATGGGATTTTACCTAAATGGGGTATAATCATTTTCTATAAAGAAGGAGACAGTGTAGCATGGAAATTAAGAGTGTTAACTGTTGTCTGGTGTTTGAATCCCTGTTGTGGAACCCAAGTGGGCTTGGGTAAGTCCCTGAAGGTCATGTCCCATCTATTAATCAAGGATAAAGATAATCATATTAACCCATAGGGCTGTTGGAAGGAGTAAATGTCAATCTAGATAAGAATTCTTAGCAATTACCTGACACACTAGTTACTCAGTAAATGTAAGCCTTCATTATTTTTAGGTAGAATCCCATTACAAAAATACAAAAATATTTTTTGTAACAGAAGTCATTTCCATGCCACCTTGGATGATCGAAAGAAATTGTGTTCTATTGGTTACATAGAATTTTCTACATCAGATGTTTGCTCTCATCAGCCTTCCTTCTTTAATTAAAGGACCTGCTGGGATGCACTGTGAGACAGGAGAAAAGGACTGAGTTGGCTGTTAGCTTTGGTTTTCCTTATTCACAGTTATCTTCACCTGCCTTCATTTGAACCTACCTCAAGTACACTTCCAAACCAGGAAGGAAACCCAAATCCTATAAACATTGACTGCCTAATGTTAAAATATGCAAAAAGATTCCGAGCCTGGGCTTAGGGTGCATTTTTAGCTCTGTCTCATCAATTTACCATGTGGTTTTAGCAGTAGGTTCTTTTAACCAAATTCCTTACAAAAAAGAATTTGCTTGTTTTTCAGAGTTTAGTTTATTACCTTATTTTGATATGGGTAAGAGGGAAGATATAATTTGAGGCACACGAGAATACACTCTTAAAAATGTTGTATTACACAGTAGAAATAATTGACTCAATAACTTAAAGGTTTTATTTTTATTAAATGCTCTTCCTAAAATTATATGATGATAGTAGACAGTGAAAACAAGAAGGGAAGAAAAACCTCAGCTTTTCTAAGATGATAGCATATGTATCACCTTTCTTTTAGGCAGAAATACTGCCTAAAGTATGTCGTTTCTGCATATTACACGCATTCGTGGTTAGTGAGCTAGAAGTCTTATCTTTTCCACTGAGGCCCTTACTTCACTTACTTTCTTGGTCTGCAGTTTTTCTGTTTTCCAGAATCTTAAAAGTCCTGACTGGGCCACTGATAGAAATTTCTGTACTGTATTTTGAAAAATGAAGACAGAAGAGTGTTTGAGGAGAATGGTAAGATAACACTGACTTACTAGCGGTGGCCCCCCTCCCATCAACCACAGGCCCCTTCAGCTGTTTGGAACAACAAATGTAGAAAAATTGAAGAAGCGTAGAAAAGTCAGTGACAAAAATAGCCGAGCAGAATCAAGAGACAAGGAAGGTTACAGAAAACAGGATGTGACTGGTCATTTTGTGAAAACGGAAGGGAAAGAGCCCTCACTGGCCGTTGAGGACAATGAAACGTGGCCTACTAATATCAAAGGCAAGAAGTACAGGAATGGAAAAAAAATGAAAAAGGGGAAAAGCAAACAGCAAAAATAGCATAAATTAGAAAATGGCATCGGGATGCAGTCTGGATGACAGCAGAGGTATCTCTGGGGGACAGAGAAAGGGACTTGGGCCGCGTCCATCTCGGAACCATTTAGGCACATGCTGTAAGGCGCCTTCATGACGAGTCACTAAAGTTTCAGTTGCACTTGGCCGACTTCACTAGGGCAGCGGTATGTGTAATGACTTGGGAACAATTTTCTTCAAAACCAGTTCATTTTAAGAAGCTGTCAGAGAGAACCTCTGCCTTGGATTATGTAACTTTACTTTTCCTCAGTGCACATCCCTGCTAGCCCAGATGATTTAAATGTTTTGTTTTAAAGTGGTTTGTTCTAGCCAGTGCAGATATTCCTACCTTTATGGAATGGGCCAATTCAGGTAATGCCCTGGTAAGACCAGGTACTGCTACTGAAAACTCAGGTAGAGCTCTGACAGGCTTCAGTGTTCTGTCTGGGACATGTCATGTTCTGGTTTGTCTTTTGGTGTTTTTTACAAACTCAGGAGTTGTAGACTGTAGTAGCTACTTTACTGTTGTCATATGTTCAGTATTTTCCTGACCTATGATTTCTTTACATCATTATTACTCAATTCAGGGAACATTTATTGAGTATGTTTCGCATGCTAGGTACTGGGCTAACTGTTGGTTACAAGGAGGATAAAGATGTAGATATCTGTGAAAGTCTGCATGCCATCTGTGACAGATGCATGAGAGACAGAAGCAGCAGAGAAGTGGGGGTGCCTGCCACCCTTTCTCTAGAAAATTCAGCTGGCCTGAGTGTCCGCTGCAAGTCCACACTGCAAGTGTTGGGATCTAATCTTGGTAGTTGCAGCTGGTGGTGTTCGGTGTCAGCAGGTTTACCAGCTCCCATTTCATTACTTCAGCTTGAATTTTCAAAAGCTTAAGATTTTAAGCCATGCAATGGACATTATCATCTTCCTATACTAATTTTTAGAACTACTCAAACAGCTGAATGAGGTCTGCTGTTTCCTTTCTGTGAGGATGTCAAGGAAACACCTGAAACTCAAATGAAAAATTCTATTCACGCCTCTTTCAGGAAAAGCTTTACCTCCCTTGAGAAATCAAGTTGCCTTTTTCTTACAATGTGAATCACGGATCGTCTTCAGCTTTTACTTCAGTTGTGAAAAACCTCATATTAAAATTATGCTTGCTTTTAATACTTAGGTAGGACTCAGTAGCCTGCATGTCTGTATTCTAACTTACCTTGATCTTTTTCTAGATTCCAGTTTTTATCTGCATATTTCCTTGTGTTCTTACAAAGTTCCTCAAATCTTTTCTGTAAATAAGGCTAAGTAGTAATACTCATTAGAAGGGGCAAGGATCCAGAAAAACGGGTGCCTCCCCAGCTGGCATTCCCAAGTGGGAGCAGGCGAGGGAGGCAGGTCTTGAGGTGGCATCTAGGTCTGGATCGGCCGGCCCACCTGGAGGAGAGGGGCTCGGTTGAAAGCTACCATCTCATATTTGTATTTCCATTAACTCTTTCAGCAAGAGAATTCCGAAACTGGGTACCGAGACTTATTAGACCTTTTTTTGGTGTTTATTTTTACTATCCTTTTAAAATTCATAATAGCAACAGTGAGCCTGTATTTGCTTGTGGAATCAGGAAGATTGAGAAGAGTTGGGATACTGTGTAAACCAGTTCGTGAGAAGCCTCCCGAAGGACAAAATAGTGGTGAAAGCATTTTTTAGAAAAAGGGACAACAGGTTGAGTTCTCAGAAGAGCAGTGATCGGGCTTTAGACCCAAGAGGTAGTTTTTCTTCTCTAATAAGAGAAAAAGAAGCGATGTGTCCAGTACAGGACAAGAATTTAAGGAAAACTTAATTTGAGCAAGTTGATTGTTTTACTTTATTAAAAAAATAACAAATGAAAAATAAAAAACCCAACATAACCAGATTGTTTAGTGATGTAATTTTTGTATAGAAAGGAATATGGTTCACAACGAGGATTCTGATTTTATTTTCCAATTGAGCACTGGACTTCTGAAGTAGGATGGCATCAGAATTCTTCATTATTTTCAGTCTTCAATTTTTGGAACCCCTCAGGCAAGACCATACAACTTAATATTGTTGTAATCGTGAGTTGGATGACTGATTTTGGAGAACTCGTGCATGTGTGTTTAATTCTAGTTTCCTCCTTGACTAAGTTTTCCTGCAAATGTAGTTTTTAATTTTAGTGACAGTATTTTTTAAAAATAGTATCTTATAATCTATTGTATTAATGGGAACGTAGGGTTCCTTAAGATTGAACCAGGGAGAAATACAGGGATGGTCTCTAGGACATTCCTTAGTCGCCTCCGTGCTCCACCCCCTCCACGCTCCCTCCTCTGTGCGTGTAGATGCACCTGGATTCTGGGATAACAAAGGAGCTGAGGTGTCCATGTCCCCACTGTTGGTTTTCCACTGCCGCATTTTCTAATCTTGTGGCCTGTAGCTGAACGTTTTGAGAATGAAGAGAATCCCTTTACTCTTTCATCCTACCCCTGACCTTACTACTTTCTACATGTACTGGTCCGAATGAACATCTAAAAAGGGATACTTTTTGTTCAGATTGACAGCATTATTTTCCAGTATTTCCTTCCAGTCTTACAGTGTCTCTAGGAATACAGTACAGAAAATGGAGATGTTTCCCTAGCAGCCAACTGACATTTTCAAAAGAGAATGAGACTCACTTTCAATCTGAGTTTCTGATTCTTTGTGCTCTGCAAGCAATCTGACTGATGTTTCTCTGATTGTAAGGTTTGTTTGAATCCCAAGACCATTCTAAGAGGTTTTCACATAACGCTGACCTTTTTCTTTCTGCTTTTACTTGGAGTCTGCATCACTCAGTGCAGCGCTGATGTATTCATAGTGAGAGAGTGTGATTTAACGGGAAAAGCAAGCGTGCTTTGGGTCCTCAAAGACCGCCATTCAGATTACGGATCTTCATTATTAGTAATGTGGTTACCAAACTCTGAATTTTAGTTCCTTAGTTTTTAAAAGAATCAGCATCTTCATGTAAATGTTATAATGGTTAGATTGTGCATAGACTGTTATAAAGTGGAAGTTATATATACAAGTTTTTATACTTTGAAAACGTATGGAATTTACTCTTTCTCACACAGTATGTCGTTTTCTGAATAAAAGAAGTACCTAAGGTAGACAAGTGGGAAGGAAATGCTGAGCAGGACCCCAAATTTGCTCTAAGGTGATTGAGAGAAGACTTATAAAAATATAAAAACACTCATTAACTGAATGTGTATCCAACATGTGCTAGAAGCTATGAGAAAAATCAAGATTAATGTTCTGAATAGAAGATTCTTGAGATGTGGATTATCCTGAATCCAAGTTTTCAAGATAATGGAGGAGGTCTCTTTCCTCGATAATTCAAACAAGAAATATTGTTACTTTTAAATTTCTTTTCATCCATCTAAATTTACCTTTTTAACAGGATGAAGGGAAGATTAACATAGATTAAAAAATTGGATATAGCCAGCCTATCATTAGAGAAGAGGGTGGTCTAGAGATGAAAAAAATAGACTTAGAAATATGTTCCTAACACAGTGAATGAAAGAAACCCTGTTAGGACATCAAATATAAAATCATTTTCAATAAAATTAAGGACTATCAAAATAATGTGTGGATCCTGGAAATGATCAGCAGGGCATCGCGCACATTCCTTACACTCCAAGATGACCTGTTAAGACAATGCGGGGCCGGCGGGTAACACAAAAATCATTTCTATTTTTGGAATGCCTTATATACTTTTTCAACAGAATTTCCTTTTTAAAGGATTAAAAGGAACCTAAAGGGATGATACGGTCCAGAAACCCTGATGTCAAGTAAATGGATGATTATTATTCTGGCTATGTCCTTCCCATAAATTGTTGCAGAAATGAAAACTGCCATTTCACTATTTTGATCTGTGGGTTACTAAATGTTTACTACATTTAGTTTCTTTGTTGAAATAGAGAATAATTGTAGTTGGCATCTCTTTAAACATCCTTTGTCTATTTGGCTGCTAGTGCTTAGTTTATTGGTACCATATCCTTTAGTTCTCTCTCAAAATCTACTTTGCATTCTTACAAATGCTTTCGTTACCCACTGACCTCAAGTTTATCTTTGTTTTTCTAAGAACTGTAAAGCGTAGTGAAAGGATTAACTTAATACTGTGTTTTAACTTGTCTGTAGCCCCTCCAAGGGCGGCACGCTGCAGCCCCTTGCCTGGCATGTAGAATATATTCAATAAATGTTTATTGAATGAGTTGGTGTATGTTCATTGTTCACACATCTTGATAGCATGATAGCTTTTTTTTGGTCAGGTAAGGCAGGAAATCTTATCTTTTTGGGGACGAAACTGAGGCTTCCATATGTGTGATGACTCCCATGGTGCAGGGATTCCGGGAGGAGAACCGCCGGGGAGGCGACCACTCGCCCCCGCCTCCCCCGGCCCGACTCCCAGAGCTCCGCGCAGCCCGCAGGGCAACAGCCGGCGCTTCCTCCACGAGCGCGCGTGCGCGGGCGGCGCGTAGGGCCTCCTTCCCCGCCTGTTCGCCGCCGCCGCTGCTTTCTGCCCCGCGTCTCAGCCTCGGCCCGGCCAGAATCTCCGAAAGGGGGGCGTGGGCGTGGTACCCGCCCCGGTGTCCTGGGCGAGGTCCTCCCGCCCCGGGCCGCCCTGGCTCTCCAGCCCTCCGGTGCTGGTACCAAACGCCTCCAAGGGCCCGACCCCGGGGGCCGGATCACCGCCTCCCCGCCACACCCGACCCGACGCGGCCGCAGGGCCGCCGGCTCCCGGTGCGGCCGGGGAGGGGGCGGAGGGGCGGCTCTTTCGGAGGCCGGCGTCTGCGAGGGGGTTTCGAGGAAGGTCGCCCAGGCGCCCCGGGAGGACGACGGCGCTGCGGCCCTCACGGTCCCGAGAGCCGGCGGCAGGGGCCGCGGTGCCCAGGAGAGCGGCCTGGCCCAGCCGCCTCAGAGCCCGGCGCCTCCGTCGGCCAGCAACCGCATCCTCACAGCGCCCCGTGACGCGCGGAGCGCCCAGGAGCAGGCCCGCGGCACTCGGGCGGCCTGCGTCACCGGCCGCCGAGGGGAAGAGTCGCGCGGCCTCGCGCCCCGTCCCGGAGCCCCCCTCGCCCGCAGGCGGGGCCGCGCCGCGGAGCCTCCCGCCCAGCCCCAGGCCTCAGTGCGCCGGCGCGGAGCCTCCCGCCCGGAGCCCCCGCCCCCGTCGCGCTCACTGCGCCTGCGCGGCCGCCGCGGCCCCGCCCCCGCTGGGAGGGGCCCAAGCGCGGGGGCGGGGCTCGCTGGCCCGCGGCTGCGCGGTGCGGCGCCCTCCGCTTCAGTTCGCCGGGCAGGCGCGGCGGCGGGGCCGGCGCGATGCGGCGCTACCTGCGCCTGGCGGTGCTGTGCCTGGCCTGCGGCTTCTGCTCGCTCCTCTACGCCTTCAGCCAGCTCGCCGTGTCCCCGGAGGGTGGAGCGGGCCGCGGTGGCGGGAAGCCACAGGCCGCAGCGGCTTCCTGGCTCGCGGCCGGCGGACGCGGCGCCGCGAGAGGGGCGGGCAGCGCGGGCCCCGCGGCGCATCCCGGCCGGTCGGACAGGTACGGGCCGTTCCCTGTCTCGGGGCCGGGCCAGGGCCGGGGCGGCGGGCGCGGGGAGCGGGGCGTGGGGCTCGGCCTGGGACCGCTGGCAGGTCCGCCCAGCGCCTCAAGACTCGTTGCCGCCGCTCCGACCCCCTTCCCGCATCCCCCTCCTTCCCGGGAACCCGACCCTCTTCCCGCATCCCCTCCCCCTCCATCCCGGGGCCCGACCCCCTTTCCGCATCCCCCTCCTCCTCCATCCCAGTGCAGCTCCAGCCTGAGAGCACCCCACGCCTTTGGTGTTGGTCTTCTGACCCATTCCTCTTGAGCTCCTTAGAGCAGTTAGAAATTAATTTTCAACTTTTGATTGATGTCATTGCCTTTTTTAAAAGATTTGTTGAATATAAGAGGTGCTGCACAGACGCCCTCTTGCTGTCTGGCTAGTGGGAATTCCCTCTCGTTTCCATGGAGTTCAAATTGAGATATTTAAACCAGGCTGGCCCCCAGCTCTGCTTTCCCCCGTCCTGAATGGGGTTGTCTAATTTTTGTGTGTTAACGCTTGAATTTCTCATTACTAGTCGGTCAGTACAATCTGGACAGAGCATTTATGCGGATTGTGAATTTTTCTTTAGGAAACAATCGGTCTGTTCTGAAACTTACAGCAAATTAAGAAAAATGAGCGATACTTAACATAATAAGGTCTTTTGTGAGATGGGACAGAGGCATCTTTCTTTAAAAATGGGTATTTCAAAAGCGGCATAATGACTTAAGTAGATGTACACGAATCACTGCCAGAGTTGGAATCAACGTGAGACTTTAATGTAAGTAAGAATGCAACGCATTGTGAATGCCCAGCAGAATCTGAGCGTCTCCACTTTCTTGGAAAATAGGCTCTTCTACTCGTGAGCACCTCTTTGGGAGCGGCCCGCAGTGCCCCTCCGAGGCAGCGGCTGCTTTGATACCCGAAAGTAAGGAGCCGGTAGGAGGAGGGATTGCTGGTCAGCTTGCAGGCTGTTAACGCCCTGAGAGCTGAAGGTCATTCCACAGCGAAAAGGGGATGTTTGGGCACAGGAGCAGCTCGGAGAAGCTGGATTGTCATGTTTGTACCCTATGACTTGACTGCAGTCAGCTGAATTTCAGCCACATCAGGATTCCAGTCATAAAAGTGGAACTATTTCCAGAGCCACCGTGTCGGACTCAGTTACGGTCCTGGAAGAGGCGGTCACCCCCAGACCCGGATGGGCGCGTGAAAAATGCCCCTCGTGAAACGCTGTCAGTGGTTTATTATGTTATCGTGAAACATTTAAAATTATGGAAAATCAATTATTTTTGTGTTGGGTAGAATTCTTAAGGAAGCAACATTTTAATCAAAACATTGAATGACACTGGACTATGATACTGGCTTTCCAATTTGACAGAGTGTCATTCATTCTCAGTGCTGTGCCTCAGATATTTATACTTTGTGAGAGATTTTTTTATAAATTGCATATCCATGGCCAGCTGATTTTTAACAAAATTCTTTGAAATTTAGAAAATGAGCACCTCTGTTTTAATAGATATTTCATAGAGCCATTACTGAAATCTTAAGTTTGATGCGTCAGCTTCAGTTGCGCCAGCTGAAAAGCTGTGCATTGCGGGTCCGCTGGCCGTCCTGACCCCTCATTTACATGAGGCAAGCGTCTAAGCTAAAGCTGCAGGTGTGTCAGCCTGGAAAAGGGGGTGAAGGGCATTCCGGCACATAAGCATGCATGAGAAGTTTGGGCAGAGGAATGATGTGGAAAAGCTGGATTGTCGCGTTTTCACCCTACGGTTCGATTAGGATCGGGAGAATCCCTAAGACATCAGGACCCTTAATTTTAGGTAACATTTATAACATGTTTTTAGATTTCTTGTTGAGTTTAGTCGACCTTTTGGCTACCAGGGGCCATGGAGTCGGCATCCTTAACCTCGCTTCCTATGTATGAGTCATGTGACCAGGGCCCAGAGGGCATCAGTAATGGGACCAGGATTATAGAAGCTATCCTTTGATTGCTCTTTCTGTAAGGTTGTGATAAGAATCTAGTCCAAATAGTGTTTTGTCGGTGGAAAATGGGGCTATGAGGCAAGGCAATATCTTCCTTTTTTTCCATAGGACTCGATTTTCATTGCATTCTAACTTTTTTTAGTGCAGTCTTACCTGAAAGACATAAGCTTCTATCTTTCATTCGACACATTGAATCTAGGATTATACCTAGTAGGTTTCATTGGTCAATTCTACAGGAAATAATTCATCGCGTGGAATTCTGTGACAACAAAATATTTGGAAAGGTCTTTCCAGTTGTCAAAACTAAACACTCTAAAATGATACGAACAATTTTTCAGTGAAATCAATCATTAATTAGGGGACTCTGAATCCATTGTTTTGATATTTAGAAAATGCACAAGTCTTAGAGTCAGAGACACGCGCGTTCTCGTTCTGGCTCTGTTTGCTGTGAAGCGTTGACCTCTCTGCTGCAGTTTTCTCGCTTGTAAAATGTGGATAATGCTTTCCCTTCGTAATTGGTAGTAGTTAGAGTTCTTAGTTGTCAGTGATTAAGATCCAACGAAACTATCTTGAGCCAAGTGGCTATTTGTAGGCTTACATGGGTTACTGTAAGGGGTTACTATTGAGGGAAAAATGCCCCAGCAGCCCCGGGGAACCTCAGGACTGGGGACCCTTCTGTTCTCTTCCATTGTAGGACAGGCTTTGTGGGGGCTTTGGGCTCTCGCAGTGTCTCTTTTCTAATCTCAAATAGGTGCTTCCAGGAAAAGGCTCTCTGAAAAGCGAGAGTTGCTTGCACCACATGTCCACCTGTGGGCCAAGCCGCTGTTGCCTCGGACGGGGACCTCAGTGCCTTGCACGTCTCTGTGGTCACAGTGCACCGTGATGGGCATTGGAGAGGAGACGTGCCTCCAAGGTGGGGGTGCCTGGCACGTAGTGGGCCCTCACATGGAGAGACTCTCGCTGGGTGGTGTGGACAGACTGTATTAAAGTCCTCAACATAAAGCAGTTTATTACCAAGCGTCAGTCCTTCTGCACAAGGAGTTACACCATTTGTGATTTTAGCTACTCGGGCTGATGAAATTCTCCCCTTTTTATGGGTGAATCTTGACAGTGATGATGGCAGTGTGGCGGAGGGAAATCAAAAAACTACCAGGCATTTAAATGATACCATTTCTGCACCAGCCATGCCCTGTGTGGTCGCCTCACTCTGCCTTTGGGATCTGGTCAGGCTGCCGAGTCGCCCCTGCCGGGCCTGGCGAGCACTAGCAGGACACGCTGAGAGGTGAAGAGCGGGCAGAGAAGGGCGCTGCAGGCACAGGCTGCAGCGCTGCTGTTCACTGGGCGTGCGGACAGCCTTGAGCACATTTTCTCAGTTAGATAGAGGGAAGGTGTTTGTGATATTGGGTTGTTTGTGGGCATTGAAATTAAATATGCTGTATGGATTACCGAGTGTGGTGCCTGGCACAGTAAAATTGTAGCTAATATGGTGATGGTTTCGATCATTTAAATTTTAATCCGAATTTTTTATTTCAATTTCTGACCTCTGGTGAGAATTCTGTCCTCTGGCCGCAGTGCAGACCTGCTAAACCAGAGGGCCTGGCTGTGGGTCTGGGGATCTAAATGTTGGATATGTACCCCAAGTTATTGCTAGAAAACCAAAGATCGAAAACCACTGACAGGGCTGAGAACGGTCTGGCAACTATCTTCACATTACTGTTTTTGGTGGAGGAGTTTTTTTCCCCCTCTTCCCCAGTTATTTTCGAAGAAGAGAGGGGCTGGGCAATGAACAGTGAAGAAAATCGAATTACTTATGAAAGCCACCTTAATCTCTGCTTTGTTAATGCAGAAACATCTTACATAAGCCCAACACCCTGCACCTTGAGCTTCAGTTCCCTGAAGCTCATGCCTCATAAGCTTGTGAAGTGCTTAGTGCAAACCTGACTTGTCAGTATCCTTCTGTGCTTTTGGTGGGAAAGCTGACTAGGCAAATGAAAAAGTGTCCTGCAGTACGACATGAGGGTTACCACCTCTGTGTCCTACCTGGTGGAACTGCTTCCGCCCACATATTGTCTTAAATTTTTTTCTATGTGTATGTGTGTCATTTAAAATTGTTAGGCATCCAGACTGGCATTTTTTTTTTTCTTTGCCTGTTTTACTTCTGTCATTCATAGACAGATTTCTACCAGAGGACTTTTCTCCACATTTTTTTAACATCTAAATCTTTAATACAATTTCTTTTTTTCCCAGGAGGGGGGGCTGGTGGGGAAATGGGATGCTAACGTAATTTTGGAATGGTTGAGTACTTGTTCACTGCCATTCCTATATAAGCAGTCCTTTCCCCATTTCCCAAGCATTCATGAAATTAAAGATTTGAGAGAAGAAGTGAAGACCTTAGAGCTAGAAACTAAATTATCTGGAGACAGTTTTCAGTTGAAAGTGAGTGACTAGCCACAGATCTTCAAGAAGTGGCGATCGGTCAGTGTCATGGGATGGTCACCATTTCGGAGGCTGTGGGCATCCATGTCCCTGGTGCGGCCAGAGTGCAGGTGTCCGCCTGGAGGACGCGCTGGAGGCTTGTGGCACTGCACTCAGGCTTCCACACTGTGAGGCTGGATGTGCCCAGACTTATCCCCGACTCTCTCAGTTGTACAGGGCTTTCACTAAAGCTGTCCTGAGATAGAGCAGGGACGTGGGGCAAGTCGTGGTTCACTATTCCTGCCTGGGATGAGTAATGCTGAGATATGAGCAGTATAGTAAGAACAAAAGGGATCCCATCGTAAGGCTGAGATTACATTTTAAAAACCAGGGAGTTAGGAGGTAAGATTCCTAACATTTTATGGTAATCAGCCCAAGCTGTCCCGTCCTAAGGCAGGACAAGCAGTCCTAAATGGTATGTCTCCACTTCTTGAGGGGCACCACTGTCGTGGAGAAGAACAGGATCAAGAAATTCCTTGTGTTAAGTTTATTTTATGGAATGTCTGAGGATTATGAATGATGAATCAAAACAGAGTGACATCATGAAACCACATGTCAAGGCTATGTGGCTCCCCCCTGCCCCAACGTTTGCCCATTCTTGAAATCCTTGAAATACATGTATCCTAAACTTGAAGCATGCCTTCTTTTTGAGATTGCTCACACTTGCCTTTTTTTGAGCGTGTACTTTTTAAATAAAGACTTTTTGCTGCTCAATTTACTGCATTTTGTCTCTGTGCCCTTTCAAGCCTCTTGGGAGGTTAATAAGAGAGACCCCCTTTCCTAGTGGTAAACATGTTACTTCGCTATTTAATTACACTTTCTAGACTAAGCTTAAGTGTTCACTCTGTCCTCCTTCAGACAAGTAGGGAAGGGCTACTAAGATCTTGATTTGGGCTGCAACCTCCCGTCACCTGGGTGACCTGGATGGGATGGCAGCGTGTGACCATGCTCTTTAGTGCCTGCTTGAAAATCTCCTTTCTTTGCCTTTGGGAAGTTCTCAGAACGTAATCTCACTCCATCCAGGGCTCTGCGGCTCCCCCAAATCCTGGAGTGGTAGGGCCTTAGTTCCATTCCGTGCAGACTAATCAGACACCGGACGCCAGGTGACCCTGGCTTCGGGAGTTGGCAGGGGACCTGCCCTGTGCCGAGCAGGAGTTCAGTGAGCTTCCCTTTCCCACCTCTGCCCTTCCGTGCTCTGCTGCCTGCAGGGCTGCTGCCATCCACTGCCACGCTCGCTTTAATGAATTCCTTCCTTCCCTACACTCCTCTGACCTGTTCGAGAACTCTATCAGTCAAGAACCTTCCCCTCTCCAGGTTGAGGTTTCACCTGGCGCACAAGGAGAGACCTTCCCAGATGCAGCTGCCCGACAACAATATGACTAGCATGAACATTAAACCTTTTTCAGTTTAATTTAAAAGTATAAAAGACCTTCTGTTATCAGATTTAAGTGAAGTTCAAGTTTGAGAATTGTTTTTGTGGAGAGCATTATTTGTTAAAAGACCTGTTTAATCTAAAACATGAAGTGTCTCGACTTTTGAAACAATTTCAAATACTGAAATTTTCAGGAATTTTTTTTATCAGTTTTTTTTAAACTTGTGAAATAAGTACAAATTCACAGTATGTTGCAGAGAAACCCCATGTATCCTTACTCAGTTTCCCCATCGTAGCATCTTACATGAGCATCGTGCAATATGACGACTGTATCTGGAATACAGACATATCAGTACACTGCAGTGTTATAACCCCGGAGTTAACGTGGTACAGGCCATGGACTGTACTCAGATAGCACCAGGTTTAATGCAGTCATGTGTATATGTGTAGTTTTATGTGGTTTTATGACATATGTAAACTCCTGCAACCACCCCCACAATCAGGATAAAGAACTGTTTTATTACCACAAAGATCCCTCATGGTACCCCTTGGTCAGTTTGTAGACAAGCCACCCAGAAATCAAAACTTGGAGTCACGTGCGACCTGAGGACGGGCCCTCGGGAAGCTTCATCTCTGGTCATCCTCCCTGGAAGGCTGCATCGATGGGCTCCGCTGACTCCGCAAGTCACTGCCCCTGAACTTAGTGCCTCATACAGTTTTGCCCTGTTAAGAGTATTTCAATACAGTCACCTCTTTGAATGTTGTCTATTTGCATTCCATTTCCAAGTTTTAAGAAATAAAAGCAAAAGCAACTCATGACCAGAGCTTGGAAAACTACCTTTACTTTTCCAGTATTTTTAAACTTAAGTTTTTTTTTTTCTGGCAAGTGCTGTTTGTCTCTGGGTAAGTTGCTTTTCCTGATTTACCGCTTGTAGTAACAGTTACTGGGACATTGTGAGTTTCTGTGTCTCTTGCCAGCAGCACCTCACTGTTTTATGATTTTCTTTTTTTTTTTAATAGAAACTGTCCTGGGTGCTCACTGGTATATATATTTTATATTTCCATTAAAGAAAGGCAGAAAGAAAACATCCCTTTTATAAATTGTGTTTTCTGACACCGAGTTTTGGTCCAGAAACTTAACCTAAACTTCAGCTTTCCCCCTGCAGTTTTGTCTGTATTAGTCACGTCACAGTGATTACATGATCTAGCCATGATGCTTGTGAAAGAAGCAGGCGTGAAAGGCTTCATATTCCATGGTTCCAGTTGTGTGAAATGCCCGTTCCATGCAAATCTGGAGACAGAGCATAGATTCGCGGTTGTGAAGGACTGGGGGATTGACTACAGGCTGAAGCAGAAAATGGGATTATCACATAATTTTAAGCAAAAAGTTCTACAGAAAAATTTAATTAAGCAGTCATTTTCTTTGAAACTTTATTTCCCATTTCCATTTGCTACTGTTGAAAGGTTTGACTGGGGGAGGTGGAACAATCAGGGTAGTTAGGAACAGAGGTGCACTTCATAAATTGTGGGTTTGTTGTAAGAAAGCTGTGATGATGTCTGTTCAAGGGTTGGAAATACCTATTTGAGCAGGTTTGTTGTGACGTTTAATTGGTATCAAAGCATGTGAATTTGTAAAGAACTCCATGTTGGTATGAGGATCACTAATCCTGTCTCTAAAAGGAAATTCAAGACTTAAAAATGCACAACAGTGCCTGGGAGGGGACAAATGCAGATTTCCTGAACAAATCATAGCTTTGCTGGTCTGCACAAATTTTCCTTTCTTTTTTTCTTATCAACCATTTAAATTAGGATGTAATGTTTTATGTTGTGTTTGAAACTGGTGTCCCTTTAAAGGAAAACAAAATGACCATTTCTTCTTTTTTCCATTGATTGAAAATTCCAGCTTGTAGGCTTTGTGCGTAGTGTACAGAAGTACTAAGGCAGCATCTTAGGAACCCTCTGTGCCTGACCTGTCCTCAGAGGTTCTGAATCCCGAGGTCAGGTATGGGGTGCTCTGGGCGATGTCATGGCCAGCCTGGGTTGAGCCCCCAGCCTTAGACTGTCGGTCGGCATCTGTGAGAGGTGTGGTCAGAGATCACTGCAGATCTGAAATTCCGTAGACCTTTCACCGTGAGAACAGTGACTTGGGATGGAATTCATAGCGAGACAGAGCCACGCTGCGTGGCGGCGGGGCCCGAGCTGACCTGGTCAGGCCTCACCCCGACTTCACACTTGCTTACTTTGGTACCCAGCTTCCACTGCAGTGGATTTCAAAGTGAACTACTGTTTTGAAGAGGAATAATGATGAAAAGCCTGTATTTTGTAATGTGAGGTATTGCTGTTGTTTCTTTTAGGTGCAACCACAATCTAAGAAGAAAGGCCAAACATGACCCTCCATCTTAGCTTGTGTGATAGAGTGAAACTGAGCCGTGAATATCAGCATTTCTTATTTTTCAATTTCAAGCGCCATTCAAGGAGCTGCGGTTGAGGATTGACTTAAAAGCTTTTAAAGATCTTCCCTTTTCACTGGCTTTTGTGGCATTTTAGTTTTGCTTCAAGGATAAGCAAATATTTTGTTTGACTGAAATGGATTTTATTCTAGGGGGAGTAGGTGTGGTCCATGAAGGAACGTTTTAGAAGTATTCCCATGTGTTCTATGTCATCTAAGGAGGGGATTTTAATATATTAAGAGAGTTCCTGACTAGAAAACTGTCTTCAAGTCTGCAGTATATTTTATGTAAAGGTTTTAAAGTTCTGTTTTAAATAATGGTACCTAAGTGAGAAATCAGTTTCTGAGAAAGCCTCGGGTTTTCATAGCAATATTTAATTTGAAAAATTGTATTTGCTGTTTTGTTGGTGTAAAATAGAACAGTAAGTTTGTAAGCTATTGAGTACATCCTTGTTAGTTTTAAACCAAAATACTCACATAGGACTCTTTCTTTCTGTCTTGCCGTTAGGTGTAAGGATTTCTCTCTGTGTTACTGGAATCCCTATTGGATGCTGCCCTCTGATGTTTGTGGAATGAACTGCTTTTGGGAAGCGGCCTTTAGGTAGGCACTTGATATTTAATTGGTAGATCAGTGTAGGTAAGACTAGATAGTAGATAATAATTTTTTACTCTAATAGGACATAAAAATGTTTCTTTTCCTGTTATTTAATAATATCTTACAAGTCAATAATTCATTTTCTGATTGGGTTTCCTGTTCCTTTTTCCCACGTTGTAGTTGTTAATCACTAATTTGTAGTCCACACTGTGTGTAAAATGCTCTAACTTTTTTTTCCCTAGATATTAAGGCCATTGTTCTAGGAGAATCTATGATCTAATTTTAGGTAAGAGGTACTAAAGTGATAAACAGGTGATAAAGATGGACCTTCCATGGGTATTTCTAGGCATAAATGGCATTTATCCAACTTAAAGCTGGTATACCGAAGAAACATTTTGGGGGTGCATGGGGCCAACTGGAGAAGGCTTATATTGGTTATTAGCAGAGAGATTGAATTTTGAGAAAGTGGAAGATAAATGTTTAAGAAGGAATGAATGATTGGACATTGTTTGTTGACCTTTTAAATTGTTGAATAGTTTGGCTTTGTTCACATCTTTGGGCATCAAAGGCGTCGGATTGGCTGACATCTCGGGTCCCTTTCTGCTCTAACCTTTAATGAAAGAACCTAGTGTTGCTAGGAATGGGGTAGCCTACCTCCTAGTGATGTGGCAGGGGGGTGAGGGAGTAGCCTGAAACACCTTTCCCAAGAGTGGAATTTCCCTGAGAGGTACCTATTTTTACTGTGTCTTTAAAATTCATTTACATTTTAATTCTGTTCATTTCAAATTCTATTCCATTTGCCAAGCAGTGTAATGGAGTAAAAACCAGACCCAGCGTCTGGTTAATATGGTTCCATCCTTGGGGAGCTTTTCATTTTGACAGGAGCTTCACACTAGTCAGCCTGGGGTTTCAGCGAGGGTGACAAGCCGTAGCCATGACGATGGGAGAACCCGGCGAGTCGTAGGTAAGGTGGGGTGGGATCAGGAGAGGCTTCTCCAGGGAGCCCCGTGTGTGAGGAGCAGGAAACTGGCCAGGCTCACGGGCAGAAGGCGGAGTATTCTAGGTGGGAAGCAGTGCATTCTCAGTATATATCACTAACATGGTTTTCAATTCTTTAAAATCCCAATATGTTATGCATCCGGTGAACAGTGGTTGAAATCAGGTATTTTAATTATGTCTCATTGTTACAGAAAATACTGAGTGATTGAAATTCTAATATGGGTCAATCAAGTCAGATTATTCAAACTTTTAAAGATAATCTTTCCCTTCAGCTTGTTCATAATTTTGGAGCATTGGAGCTCCATGTTTTTTATGTCTATTAAAGTTTGCAGATGAACGCAGTGTTGACAAACACCGCTTTACTATCTCTAGCCTTGGGACATACATCTGCTAGCTCTGGAAGCTGGGTACGCTTGGAAACTTACGCGCATTCTGATTTCATCCAGCTCAGGCCCTTTTGTATGTCACAGGGTGAGTAACGACCCTCCTTCCTCCTAGGCCCGAGGACTCACCCCGAAGAAGCGGACACCGTCGGAATCTTCCAGCCTCTGCTTATCATTCCTTTTGTTGTGGCTTCTCCAGCTCTCTAGTTGCCTCATGCTGCCAAGTATTCCCTGGGGAAGGATGGCATGTGGGTGATGGGTACACACTGTGAGCCCTTGTGCTTGTTGCTCTCCTAAATTTGAGATTTTAAATGTTATGCTTCTGTGTTATACTCTCTACTTAGACATCTGTGTCTGTCTGCAGATATGATGGTTTTCCCAGTAGTCCATGTAAGAATATAGTAATTTATCCTCCATTTTCCCCATGGTCCCAGGCACATAAGTGGGTGAGAATTATGCCTGGGCTTGACTGGGTTTACCCCGCCTTATGTCTAAACATCCCGACCCTCCCCCAAAGCAACAAGCCCAGCGGTTCTGCCACAATAAAAGGCACCTCGCTGCTACCCCCTCTCTCTCTGTCTCTCTCTCTGCAGCCCTCTCTCTCCTTGTCTCTGTCTCTGTCTGTCTGTCTCGCTTCTCTCTTTGTCTCTGTCTCTCTGTCCCGCTCCTCTCCCTCTCTCTCTCTCTCTCTCTCTCTACGCCCTCCCCTCACTCCCCTAGGGCAGCCACTCTCTCCTTCAGATAATAAAGTCTCTTGCGTGGGCCCGTGTCTCCTGAGTCATTCTGGGTAAGGAGGGTCGCGGTGAGAAAAATCTCTTAATCTTAGTTTCTCACTTAGAATTTAGGATCCCTCACATTTGCTCATTCTGCTGAAATATGCAGACAAGTCAAAATGCCATAGAGTCGCCGTGTCCTGCAGTTCGGCACCTACTCAGTGGACACCCCAGTCGGCCTGATCCCAGAGCTTGTCTGCCCAGCTGATGAACTGCTTTGAGGTTCCCCTTTGCTGTTACCGGAGGGCTCGCGTTTTGCCTGGCACCAGTGGGCCCTTACCTGGCACGGTTTTTCCTCTTCCCAGGCTTATCCCCGCTTTTCCAATTTGAATTTTTTATATTATTCTATTTTGACTAAAGCTTACCTGGAAGATTATTTTCTCCCATTACTTTATTATACAGTGAACATAAAATAACGTAAAAAGAAAATCCCCTCAGCACTCAGCCTTTCACTGTTGCAAACACTTCCCCATTCTTATTACCTGCGCCTGCTGAGTCACCTTGCCGGCCAACTGCTCCCCGGCAGCATGTCGGATGGTCAGCCTCCCCGTCCTTGGGACAAAACCCCTACACTTGCTTTCAAGCCTTTTTTCCTTTAAGCATCCTCAATTTTCTCTCTCTCTCCACCAGCAAAATATTTATAGGAGGGTCTGCTGGCTTCACTTCCTTAAGCAAACAGAAAAGCTTCCCACCCCCGCCTGCTGTCCCCCCTGACTAAGCTCTCATTGAAGCCCCCCAGGCCTCTGAGTTGTTCTGGGGGGCCTACTCTTACTTCTCCTGGTCAGTCGGCACTCGCTGCCCCCTCCTCTTTCTTCCTTTCAGCTCTGGCGGGTCCTGGTTCCCATGACCAGTGTCTCTGCCCTGCTGACCCCTCTGCCCCTGGGCCCCGCTCCCCACTGCTGCCTCCTGAGCGTTGCTGTAGGACCCTGCTGTCTGCTCTGCCCGCCCCTTGGCCACAGCGTGACCCGTGTGCCTGGGGTCCCCAGCCCAGTGCCCCTTCCTGTGCTCCAGAACTATTTCCAGCTGCGTTTTCATCACGGTTACGTGGCTGGTTCATGTCTAGGCCACGCTTGGGCAAACCTGAGCTGGTGGTCTAGCCCACCGCACCGCCCTGTGGTGTGCCCCGGGTCACAGCGGACTTTCTCCCTGTGTCGGGCCACGGTGGCTTCCGGCCCCAGTCACACTGTTGTCCTCCCTCTGGTTTCCCTCCCCACCGCGCCCCTCGCTTCTCACCTGCTCGCCTCTCTGTGTCCGCCGTCATACTCGCCGCATCTGTTCTGCTTGTGAGTCGTTATCCGCATCTTGACCTTACTTTGCAGCTCGATAGCTCGTGGTGTTCATCATTTAAGGCCCATGCTGAGCAATGTGCTTAGCAATCAGTAAATAACGATTTTCCCCGGGATTTGTAGACTAGGCTAGATGTTTATATAGGGAGCTTCCTTAGCCGTCTTGATGTTTTTTTTCTATTTAAGCAGTTACCATGCTTTCTAATTAAAATTTTTAAAATTCTGTCTTTTCACAACAGGCTTACTAATTTATAGTTCATTCATTGATTGTCAAACATATTTCCATATTTGTTTAGCTTTTTAATCGTTTGCTCTGCATATTGTCAGTATTGATATTTACCTGTTGAGGTTTTAATGTCTATTCTATGAACTATTAGGATATCTACTTTTGCCACTGATTACAGATATTTTTTCCTCATTGGTTTCAATTTTTTTAAGTTATATTTTCAGTATACAGTCTCTTAATTTTAGCATTACTATAAAAAATTCTGTTTTAATGTACTAATTTTTCTATGACTTCAGCTTTTAAAAATATTTAACCTCTTTATGGTAGAAAATGATTTTCACTTCATGGAGTGTGTGGTTATAGGGGAATTTAAATGTTACCTGTATTGTCTTGCATGTTTAGTCCATGCTAGTTTTAAGAGATATATTTTTACGGATTATTTTAAATTATATTTTTGCAACTAATACTTGTATTTCAAACTGCATTTTAAGATTCTCTTTTCTATGCTTTTTATAAGACCTTAAAGAGTTTTTTTTAGGTATTATGTTTTGTTTCAAAAGTAATTATATACAACTCACGTTATCTAGGATAATTTTTTTTAGTGTGATAATTTAGCACAACTCTTTTCATAGTAAAAGGCAAATAATTTTAAGCTATAGGGAAATTATCATTAGTGTTTCTGAATATAATTTCTATTTTGTTCAACTGTTAGTTTTTAAAGATAAGTTCATGGCAGTTAATTTTTAGTTTGGAGAGATTGTCATCAAATTTAATTAATAAAAGCATATAAAGTTTGGCTTTATATACTTCATTATAATACTAATTCCCAGACTTAATATATTATGCATTGTTTTATAGAAAGGATGCTAGCTTAATAATAGTCCAGAAGAATACACTGGAAGCTTTTCATGCTGTCTAAATAAAAAAAAATTATTATGATTCTTATATTGCAGAAATATTACTTAAGTCTATTTGTAAGGTTTAGAAATCTGTTAACAGTGCTTTTTAGAATTTGTCACTGAAGACATTTTTTAGCTATTAGTCTTTTTTTCTGATTCCCCTTCTCACTTTTTCTTTTTTTACTTTTTGTTTTTACATTTTTACTTTGATGTTTCAAGTCTACAGAGGTTACAGGAGAAGTACAGGAAGTACACACTAGATATTTACCTGTTATTAAAAACATCCCAGGTTTTTTTGGTTAACCATTTGACAGCTACAGCCATTATAACACATGCCTGAATACTCAGTATGTATCTCCTGAGAGCAAGAACATTCTCCAAAATAATCATAAGATTGTCACTTTATTTAACCCTGACAGAATACATATTTATGTTTCCTTATATTCTGGTTGATATACTTTACACCTCTTTTGTGAGAAGGACATTAACAGAAAAGCCAGTGCCATGTAGTTGATGACCCTCCATTCATAGAAACTTGGCGGAGGCAGTGCTGGGCCTGTGACTGAACTAGCCTTGGGCTGCCTTGGGGGAGGAGCCCCTGGGGCTGATGTTAGAGGGATTTTTGTTTTCCTTGAGATCATTTGACTCATTGTTCTAAAGAAGGTTTATTATACTTATCTCTGTATGTAGAGAACTCTGTGCAAAACATCACCTGACTATTGCTTATTTTTTTATATCTCTTGGCTTTTAGCTTTGGGATAGGATCTAGTGATGGCCAGTTAGGCAGACGGAACCTATTATAGATGCTCAAATCTTGATTCTTTTGTGAGGATCCTCCTACGATCATGAGAGGTAGGATCTGGAGGCATTTGCCAGAAAGATGAGATAACTTAGAGCTTTGTAAGACTGTTGTGTGTCTTAATTGCCTTGTCTTTTATTTGTGTCAACGTGGATTCCCCTGCTTAAGATAACTTGATTCATTGCCTTATTATAGGTGTAGAAGGCAGTTTCAGTGTTAAAAACTGAGGGGCTCAACAGGAAAGAGGGAAACAGGGTGCAGACAGGTGGGGAGGTACTGCTTTGTAATTGCTGTCAACGGAAAAGGACAGAGCTTTGAAACGACCCGCAGTAACACCATCCATGTGAGGGAAGCGACCTAGCAGGCGCATGGGAGGGGAGTGACTATACCAGGTGGTGTTTGCTTAGTTGGGTAACCATGCCCCGAATCCTGCCTTTGTCCCCCATCTTGAACCATTGGTCAGATTCCATTCCTGGTACATGGATCTAAATTTTAAAGTCAAAGTATGTACCTAATACTAATTCTTAATGATGATCTTAGTGTCTTGATGACAGATGGGATGTCACCACCGCTTCTGGAGCAGTGACTTCTTGCAGGAACCCCACTTTGTATGGGACCTCTGCACTCAGTGCCATTGACAAAGAGATGTAATAACGATTAGCTTCATGAGTTATCTGGGAAGGTTCCTTTTTCTTAAACTTTCTTTTTCTTTTTCTTTTTAAAGAACCTCATCTATAGAATGATGGGCCTCATCTGTAGAACAGAGGGCCGGTCACCAAGGTGGGGACCTTAGGTTCCAGCCTCCCCGTGCAGGGATCAGGGGAGGAGGTACATTCTAGGAGGAAAGCCTTTCAGCTGAAGAGCTGTCTGGGGCTCTGCTGGCGACCGGTCACCGTGACCGGGCGTGACAGGCCCCGTGGCAGGGAGACCCCATCGTCAGGCTTCAGGAACCCAGCCACACGGGAGGAGATGAGTTTCAGCGGCTCTCCTAGTTATTCCAGGCCCGAAGCAGACCTGGCTGGTGAATGGGAAGGGGCAGCCCACAGCGAAGGCAGGAGAGCGTCATGTGCGCTCAGACTTGCCTTCTCATCCTGGTAGCATCCCGCGTGCGTGAGGGTAAAGCATGAAGGTGTGCGGATCTCATATCCAGGTGTGTTCCATATAGTCCGTCATTTGTATTTAATGTTACTTAGTGTGATTCTCTGTTTCCTGACATCCTGGTCAGCCGAGGGGCCACCCTGAGCAAGGCCAAGACTTTTCTCAGGGATATTTCTGGGTCCCGACGTGTGAGTGAGCGCTCAGGATGCCAAAGTCTGTGCTGAGGAACAAAACTGCATAATTTCAGCCTGTAAATGTAAGAAAAATAATTATTACTGCAGGTCTCTTTAGTGTATGCACACAACCATTAACAGTAAACAATGTAATTTCCACTCCTTACATATTTTATAGAAATGATCTCTGAAAGCAAGAATTGAGTTCAAGTCAAATTTGTATGTTTACCTCAGAATGTACCTTGTAACACTTTAATGTGTTACTAATTTTATGCAGTCCTCCATTCTCACATTCCTTTCGCTGTAATTCCAAAAACATTGTTTCATGCCATAATTACAGGTGGCATATTTATTTTATAGCATCACAGGTCATTTCATTTAACAGCAGTGCAGTCGCAGGGACTTTGCTTTCCATGCCGGGAGATTCTTCTTAGTTCACTGCTGTGCTGCTGAGAGGTTTAGAAGGTTTCCCAGGCCTGGCGCCGCCCGCTGCGGCCCGTGTGGACGCGTGCGGCAGGATGGAACCTGCGCCAGTGACTGAGCGAGGGCGTCTTCCTTCCTGAAGTGACTTACTAGTGTTTGGCTTGTTTTCGACCACCTCAGAACTGGCCTCTTACTGATTACTTGGCAAATGGGACTGAATGTGCGTCAATGAAAAAAGTTTTGTGAAGGAAACTTTCCTGTAATCAGCATGGTTGAAAATAGGAAGGTACTGAAATATTTACGGGTGAATTTGTGGCTGGGTTTCTTCAGGTCCACTAGTGGCAGAAGGGGGCGTGAGGAGGGGGTGTAGGTGAAATAAGAATCCTTTGAATGGAATTGTCACAACTGGGAGATGGACATATGGGGATTTACTCTTCTGTTCTCCCTACTTTTGTGTGTTTGAGTTTTTTTTTTTTAATAAAGTTTAAGGAAGTGGAATGGAAGACTCAAATCATTGATGGCCCCATTCACAGCTGTGGGGGCGGGCGTTCTTTGGGAAGGATGAGCAGTGAACTAACTTCTCTCCCGTGTACCTAGAGCACTGCCTGTACGTACCATTCTCGGGAGGACTGAGGAAGTAGTTGTTCTGTGTGTTTTGTGTTTCTTGGTGAGGAACCCTGGCGGAGAAAGGCCGGTTCGGAGGTCAGAATGTAAGACTGGTTCGGCACTGTACTGCTGCTGTGACTTGATGTTCGTTTGCTTCTGAATAGAAGTTTTGTACTTCAGCTTTTGAACATGGTCAAAAGTTGTTAATATGTTGCCTTATGCTAAAACTGTCGGGAAATGTGGTTTTCTTTCCCATTAGGTATAGTCTGAAAGTACAGCCCGTTGAGAGAATGCACCTCGCTGTGGTCGCCTGTGGGGAAAGACTGGAAGAGACTGTAACCATGCTGAAGTCAGCTGTCATTTTCAGCATCAAACCTCTTTGGTTCCATATTTTTGCTGAAGATCAACTGCATGATAGTTTCAAAGGCATAGTAAGTATTTGAGACTTGGGACTGTAGAGTTGACTATTTAATGGTATTCTCTAATAGGACATTGTTTTATTCCTTCATGGAATGGAATATTAATTCTATAACTGCCCTCCTGGAGTGAAGAGTATTCCCTGCTACTACGTCCTTCAAAGAGTCCAGTTCTTGGGTATAAGAGGAAGGTTTGTTTTTGAAAAGAAGTAGGTCAGTTAAAGTCCTTTGCCAAGCTTGGAGCTTTTTATTTTTCCAGGGTGATTTGACTGAGATGTCCTGTGATTAAATTTTGTTCCCATCCTTGGCTGGGGAGAACCTCAGTCAGATGTGCACAAGGTTTCCATTCTGTTTTAAGGGGAAGGAACTGAATGACAGTATGGAGGGAAGTAACTTCTTGCTCTGATAAGAAAGTTCTTGGATTTTGTATTAGTTACAGGCAGTTTCGCTGCAGTGGCAGAAAAATCCCCCAAACAGTGGCTTAGGCAGTTTATTTGTGGAAGTTTATTTCCCTCTCACATAGAAGCAGGCGGTCTGCAGTAAGTGCAGCTCCATGTCCTCTGGGGCTCTTGCTGCTTCTCTCCTGCGGCCGAGCCATCTTTAACATAGCCTGCTACTTCATGGTCCAGGATGGCTGCTCAGGCTCCGTCCCTCACACCCACATTCTAGCCAGTGTGAGGGAGGAGGGAGTGAAGATGGCAGTCCCCTCCTTCCCTCTAAGGACACTTCATAGAAGTTGCACTTAACATTCTTGCCGGTATATGTAACTGTACCTAGCTGTTTATGAGGGCTGAAAAGGTACTCTCTAATCAGGGCAGCCATGTAACATCCTTAGCAAAAAAATTATTGCTGTGCAGGAAGAAGAGAGCAGGTATATATGGGGGAGAGAGTATAAGAGAAAGAAAATTCATCTAAGTCTCACTATTTCACATTCTGAGGTGGTGGTGTAGATGATGATAAAGGTTCTGCCCTCACCCTGCCCCCCAACTCTCTCTGTCTCTCTGTGTACTAACTTAAGCTTTCAAAATGGTTTGATTTTTATGCTTGGTCTAACTATGTATGCATTTGATGTTTTTTTTCAAGTTAAATTGGTTCAATTAAAAATTGAGTGAAAAATACTACTTGTGGCCTCAAGTTTTTTAGTTTTCTGCCAAAATATTTGATTCCAAGAGTTTCACTTACTGTTTTAAAATATTTCTAGTGTCTACATTTTTGATATGTGCTTTTGTGATCTTGATCTGTTTATCTTATTTTTCTAAAATATTTACTGAGTAATTAATTTTGTCCTAACAGTTCAGAGAATAGCAACAGATTGCTACCAACTGTGGAAACCTTTGAAAATGTAATAAAAAAGTAAAATAAATGTATTGCTTCATCTTATGTGCAGCTTCTGTGTTGTTTAAATGTGGCAAGTTATTGATTACATAATATGTATTTTTAAACTTAGTTTTTCTGTAATTATAATAGCCCACTCTGAGAATGCTGGGCTTTGCTTTTGAAGAAAGAATATCAAATATTTTGTGGAATATGCTTTTACTGCAAAAAAGATGTCTAAATATTAGACTATTAAATAAAATATGGCAAAGCTTTCATTTTGAATTTAGTATTGAAAGGATCCTTCAGTGATTTATAAGCCTCACAGGGAAAATAAAATGTAGTGTTTTAAACTAATTAACAGAAACATCAAAACAGAGTGTTAGAAGCAAAAACCTTCCCTTAAACTATGTTGGAAGGCACTAATGTTATAAAAAATTACTTGAACACTGTCAGGATTCAAAAAGAGAACATCTTCAGCCTGTTGGATTAACTGCTTAGTTTCCTGCCTATCCCCAGATCGTGAATGTGTGGGAGCTTTGAATCAACAACTGTTGAAGCAGCAACGATGGGTTGTACTTAAACTGAATTTGAAATAATTCAGTGTTCTAATACTGAATGCATTCAGGATACTAAAGTGTAAACAGGTTCATTATAGAGTTTCAGGTCTGTTTTGCTTTTTATAATGATTAAAAAAAATTGGCATTGGATGTCTATCAGAATATTTTATTATTAGGAATATGCCTATTAAAACTACATAGACAGATGTTCACTAATTGGTTTCTTATTGGTCTCTCTTTGAATGTAAACCTTTTCTGTTATTTCATGCATACTGTGGTGACAAAGTTAGTGGTTATTTTTCTGAGTTTAATTTGGGGATTGAGAGGATTCATACATCAGGTAAAGCTGAGGGAGGCGAACAACTTGCGAGTCTCTGTCCACTCTCTGTTCTGTGAGGGTGACCTTGTAAGTGGCACTGTGTCTCCAGTCTTTACGGTGGAGTCTTTCTCCCATATTACTATGATTTAAGATGCTGAGTGAGAATAAGATGGTGGGAAAGAAGAATCTGACTTTCTCTTAACTGTGTAAAACATAAGATGTAGACTATTTTAATTTTTAGCTTTTTAAAATAATCTGTTGGTTTATGATTTTACAGAGAAAATTGGAAATGAAACAAGTCTAAACTGATTCTTTTTTTTTTTTAGCTTGACAGCTGGTCATTTCTGCAGACATTCAATTATTCATTATACCCAATAACGTTTCCAAATGAGAACGCAGCAGAGTGGAAAAAGCTCTTTAAACCATGTGCTTCCCAGAGATTATTCTTGCCAGTAAGTTTTTTCTTCTTTTTTTTTTAAATCTTGTTTTTACACACATGGGTTAATAAAGAGTCACATATAAATCAGTTAACTACACAGACACACACACACACACACACACACACACACACACTACTGATTTTTTTCATTGAACATTAGGGGGAAAAAGGTCCCATAGAACAAATAAAAGCTACTGTAAAAAGCTCTGATAGAAGTGAAAAATACAGTAATTTCTGCTGAAATACTATTTCTTACATTTTAATTCATTCAGTTGCTATAAATTGTTTTATCTCTAAGAAGGAGTAAAGGTCATCAGACCTTAATGGGGCTGACTGAGTGTGTTGCTAGCAGAGGTGCAGGTCAGGGTCACCTGCAAGCTAGAGTCCACACTTAAAAGACCACATCGTTCAGTAAGTTTTTCTGTCTTAATACCAAGCCAGTTTACCTTTTCAACTGGATACTTTAACACAGACACAAAATTAAAGGCATGTGAAGTCAGTAGGAAATGGGAACCATTTATTCAGTGGGGCTACTCTTTGATGTTGTTCCCTGGTGATAAATGCTTATTATTATTTTAATCTGAAAATATTCAGAAGCAAGGTAACCTCTTTTATTTTGAATTGCTTTCATCCACAGTTTTAAAATTTCACAGTTGTTAAGACCACTATAATGTTTAAAATAGTTATAATAGTAGAAATAGTGAATTTAAGAATCTCACAGATTTCTGGAAAGTATATGAATTATAGGGAAGATACTTCAATTACTTGTTGTAAGTAGGTTGAGGCAATTCTTAGCATATTAAGAATATAGGTTACTGAACCAGGTCATCAATAAGATTTAAAGTTAAGTTCTCATTTTGTCAGCTGAGTCCTCCTAGCTGGGGTCTTTGTTGCTGTGCATACAAAATTTGAATCCTGTGGTCTTTTTCAGTCTCTGCTCTGTTGTAAGAGGCACACAAGTAAGGGATTAAGATAGGGGAAAAAGGCTAACAAGTCTTAGATACTCTATGTGGGCTTTATAAGTTCAAAACAAATCTTTATGTCGAATCATTGCAGTGTCACACTCAATTAATAATTTGCTGTTTTCTGCCAGGCATCTGTACTGAAGTACTGGGTATAGGAATGAACTGAACAGTTTTCTTGTTTTCTAGAGCTTATTGTCTGATGTGAGAGACAGACATTGAACAAACACATTATGGCACTAAATAAACGCAAATGTGTTAGTGAAAGAATAAGTGGTGAGGGAAGCATGAGATTTCAGCCATTTATTTCTCTTCCATTTTGTTCTGCATTATTAACAAGTCTAATTATTGGTGTGATAAGAAATTTGCTGATCATTTAATCTGCTTACATTTCTAAATGGCATTTGAAATACTAAAATAAAATATTTGAAACCCATCTGATTGTCCTCATACTTCTCTGTTACTTCTGCAACTTTTTAACCAAATGTAAGTAAATTCATGTCTTATTTTTCTAATGGTAAACTTTTTTTTACTGAGTTTCTCTTCCTTTGAAATAGATAAATGACAAGCACTGTGATCTCTGTCCACTCCTTGCCCTGACAGCCACCACAGAGAAGTCCTGACCCGGGTGTCACTGAGCCTGTGTGTGGCCTCCGCTGGCCGTGTCGCCCGTAGGGAGCTCGGGGCTCTGGCGTGCCTTCCTAGTCCGCCAGCAGCATACAGCATTTCAGTCTTAGGAGCGCACCTTGTGTCATGGGACAGGACAGAATGTTGCTATAAAAACCTTGCCCACCCTCTTCTGTCCCCCAGAAAGAGACAGATATATAGGCACATGTACACACACCCTTTACTCAGTGTTTTTGAAAAATCGACCCTTTCCCATTCATGCTCTGCAGTCCAGCGTCAGACTTCTTTCCCAGCGGGATATTAAGGCGGCTGTGGGGAGCGTGGGGCGAAGCCAACCTGCTGCTGCTTGTTAGGGCGACGGCTTCAGCCTCCGCTGCAGGAAGAGGCAGCAGCTTTGAGAAGGAGCAGAATGTAGATCGAGCTCTTATTCTCCTTATGTTTTTAACTAAAATGGTTTAGGTTAACCTGATGACTGAGTCTTACTAATACACTGGGATACGCAATAAATTTAAATTTGCATGAGTCAGACTCTAAAGTTCATGAGTCAGGCAGAAATAAAAAAATTGCTCTTGGAAATCCCTGTAGAAGTTGGAGATTCAACATCTCTCAGAAAGTAAGGACATCGCCAGTATTTCTTCCGAGACAAGCCTGTCTTCACCCCTGCTCAGTAAGTGCGCAGTTTCTCTGACTGCGTGAGAGACGGCGAAGCACGGAACGCAGAGCGCAGGCTGCAGAGGGGGGTCGCCGTTCCAGGTGGGCTCAGTGTCTGCTGAGACCGGGAGGATGTAAGGGTGCAGCCGTGACCTGGAAGGTGTCACAGGTCTAGGGAACAAGTTCAGAAGGTCTTCATTTGTGTTGATTCATTTCTGTATTTATTCAGAAAATTAAGATTCGAGCTAGAAATTCACCTAAGTTAATGTTGTTTTCCATTATCCTCTCTGTTCTTTGAGGATATTGCTTTTATCTTATTTATTCTTCCAATTGTTAATATTGGGTTTTTGTTCTGATTTGTTTTTATAGCTTTTCTTCTCTAAAAGTTAAGATGAAGGCTAGCACAATATCTCTATGTATGTTGTCAAAAGTGACAGATTTAGGAAAACTTAGTGTATAAAATTAATATAAATTAGCTTATCTCTTAGGTATTTCTTCTATAATTAAAGTCTCTTCTGTGTTTTATGATAAATGAATACAATCACAGTTAACGATTCAAATCTCTCCTCACAGTTAATCCTCAAAGAAGTTGACTCACTATTGTATGTCGACACTGATATCCTTTTTTTACGGCCTGTTGATGATATTTGGTCTTTACTAAAGAAATTTAATTCCACACAAATTGCTGCAATGGCACCAGAGCATGAGGAGCCTCGAATAGGGTGGTATAACCGTTTCGCCAGGCACCCGTACTACGGGAAAACGGGCGTGAACTCGGGGGTCATGCTGATGAACGTGACGAGGATGAGAAGGAAGCATTTCAAGGTGAGCCATGGACACAGGTACTTCGCCGACATCTCTCAGGTTTGCCTCCAGATCGTCTCCAGTTTAACTGTGCTTTTTTAAAAACTAGATTGAGCGATTCAGAACTTTTCCACTTACCTAGAATAATTGAAGAAAAGTGTGTCAGTATCCTGCTTGCTGGGGCCTTGCAGTAGGTCAGGCCAGATGACAGCGCAGTGAAGCGAAGCAGCCGTGTGCTGAGCGGTGAGCCCGACGTCTAGGTCTAGGAGCGTGAGCCTCTGGAGCCTGCGGCCTGGTCCGGAGCCCTGGGGCCTTGGGCAGGTTTTGAGCATGCCCGGGCTTCGGTTTTCTCATCTGTGCACTGAGGATGACAGACAGCAGTGCCTCCGCCACTGGGCTTTTGTGAGGGTTGGATTAGTTAGAACGGTGGCTAATATATAGTAAACGTTGGCTCTTTTGGTGCTACTGGGAGTTAACTTAAAAAAAAAAAAATCCCTGCGTGTTTCTTACCTCTCAAATTATGGGGTCAGTGGAATAGTCGGGCTATTTAATTAATTTCTCTGATTGCACATCCATGTGTTGAATACAGGTGTATGTTGACCTGTTTACCAGTTCCCCGATGAGGAGTTGCGCATGCTGAGCTTTAAGTCACCGCAGTCTGTGGGCAGTGGAGCCTGCCTGCTCAGTTTATGCGTGATGTTGTCACCTCTGCACTGTTCAACACGGGCCAGTTAGCTGACTTTCAGACATCATTGTCTCGACTGAAAAGCAGACATAATAAACAGATTTTTGTAGGTTGTCAGTTTAAAAGAGATCCATTTAAAATGCTTAGTGTGGAGCATGGCACATAGTAAGTGCTTAAATGTTAGCTAAAAGCTGTGACTTCTGAAATACCTGTAGAGACTTACTGTTTATTCCTTTACATCTGGATAGGACCAAATTAAACATTAAGGTATGTGAGTTCTTTTATGGTATGAGGATAGATGTATGTCTGCCTGCATATGTGTCTGTGAGGTATTTTCCTTATATGACCAGAATCCCTGCACCGTTTCGCCCCTCCCCGTGCGTCCCATGTGATCTCGGCCTCATCTAGAGCTGCTCCCATGATTTATCTTTGGGGCGGCAGCGGCCATCACCGTCTCAGTCTTGGCAGCTCGCACCCAACCCTCTCCACTTCTGTGGATCTCGTAAACCTGGTTGTTTTTTAGCCTTCCCATTTTCTGAACCTTTATGAAATCTTGATTTCACTTCCATTTTGTCCCCCACAGTTGAGTGCACTAGGGAGGTATGTAACCCATATTCCTACTTAGCACTGAACATCTTTCTTCAGTTACCAATTTGTTAATCTAGCTTGAATTGTAAAACTTATGTACCATAAAGTTTTACTAAGTAAGATGGGTGTGATGCCATGAGTTTTCTCCCTCTTCTGATTGTTCGACCACACATGGTAATATTATACCAGAAGATGGCGCTGTAAGATTGTCTCCTAAGGAATAATGTGACTTCTTTGTAACTCTTGATTTGAAATTCATAGAATTATGAATTTAGAGTTGCAAAGAAAATACAATTTAGTGTAACACCATTATTTAATTTTTTTAAACTTTCAAAATACAGCTATACAGTTCAAATCTATTATTATTATTTGCTACTTAGCCTTTTATTTAAGTGTCACTCTTAGGTCCTGGAACAGTTTCCCTGCTCCCCTTTATCCTGTGTCTGTGGTGTGCTCTAAACCAGCTAGAGATGTAGAGATGGCAGTTGAAGTAATTTCTGAACTTTCACACTTTCATTTTCTTCTGTGCACTAATGACTTAATGAAGAAAAATGGTAGAGGCCCAACTGTACAGATTCCGAAGGTACGGTTTGCTTTACACCTGCCCTCCAACCCCCATGTTCCAGACAGTCCTATTCTTGCCCAGTGGGACAACTCAGATCAGCTTTGTTTTCAAAGATTATTATATTTATAATGTCTGAGATGTTTCTACAAAATTGGTTTTTTGATTCCTTTTATCATATGTCTTTGTTTTTCTCGGTTGTTTTCCAGACTATATCTATAGCAAACATTGCTGTATTTTTTTCCTACTAATTCTATAATTTCTGGCACAGATCTTAAGTTTTAGAGCTCTGATGACATCACTGAATTCCTTGTAATAACTCTCCACGCTGTTCGATACAGACCCAAGAACGTTGCCCCATGGTTCTTACTATGTGAAAAACTATAAGGCTGCTACTCACTTAGGACAGTGGCTGTGTTTTAAATCCTTACTCTGCTGCCACACAGTGCCTACCATCCATGATGTTCAGTTCCAACCTGATGTATTGTACTTACATACATATATTAAAAATAAAAATAGTGAAGATTCTACTTTTTTGTTGTTTCTTAGAATGCTTGATGGGCAATACAACGCTGGTTAGCTATTGCTTTTAGGATGGTGTTTGCAGTTCTGAATCCCTGTAAGAATATTTCTTAGCCTTTTTCTATTTATTAGAAAAAAATATATAAATAAGGCATCTTGGGAATCCTTTCCTTGTATGTTTACTGTTCCCTGCTCATGTCCTGTCATATATTACTTTGTAAAACAAGTTTTGTCTGCTTTCTTCACCTACTGAGGGCAGGACATGAACAACTTTGTATTTAGAATACAGGGCAAGGAGTCTGGCATAAAGTAGCAACTCAGTAGATGATTACTGGCAGAGGATGGTGGAAAATTTTAGAAACCAGGCCGTTAATGACTTACTGAAAAATATTGACAGAGAGAACATTTACTATGAGGTGGACATGATGGTTGTTTTTACATATTTGAAAGATATATGTGGTGCAGGACTTTTACTGTATTATATATGTAGTTATGAGAACAATAATCAATGAACAAAAATTATCAAAAAGCACAGAACTTTTCACAGGCTAGTGGGGTCACTAAGCTTAGGAATTAGTAACTTCTCTGTTAGCACTGCTGGAACGTAGTATGGAGAGCCACCTGTCAGTTTTATATTTATGTATGAGAGAGACTGATAATGATAAGCATACATAAAATTCTAAGAATGAAACATTGCTTTTAATATAATGTGCAGTTTTGTAGTAGGTTGGCTAAAAATAACAAACTAGAACAACATTTTTTAAAAAGTGTATTTATTTATTTATTTATTTATTTATTAAGGTATCATTGATATACACTATTACAAAGGTTTCACATGGAAAACACTGATTACTACATTCACCCATATTATCAAGTACCCCCCAAGCCCCATTGCAGTCACTGTCCATCAGTGTAGTAAGATGGTATAAAGTCACTACTTGTCTTCTCTGTGCTATATGTGATGCCCCCCACCACATCATTTGTGCCAATCATAATGCCCCTCAATCCCCTTCTCCCTTCCTCCCCACCCGCCCTCCCCCTCCTCTCCCCCTTGGTAACCACTAGTCCCTTCTTGGAGTCTGTGAGTCTGCTGCTGTTTTGTTCCTTCAGTTTTGCTTTGTGTTACACTCCACAAATGAGTAAAATCACAAGGTACTTGTCTTTCTGTGCCTGGCTTATTTCACTGAGCATAATGCCCTCTAGCTCCATCCATGTTGTTGCAAATGGTAGGATTTGTTTTCTTCTTATGGCTGAATAGTATTCCATTGTGTATATGTACCACCTCTTCTTTATTCATCTACTGATGGACACCTAGGTTGCTTCCATTTCTTGGCTATTGTAAATAGTACTGCAGTAAACATAGGGGTGCATATGTCTTTTTGAATCTGAGATCTTGTTTCCTTCGGGCAAATTCCTAAGAGTGGAATTCCTGGGTCAAATGGTAATTCTATTTTTGTTTTTTTGAGGAACCTCCATACTCCTTTCCATAGTGATTGAACTAATTTACATTTCCACCAGCAGTGTAGGAGGGTTCCCTTTTCTCTGCATCCTTGCCAGCGTTTATTGTTCCTTGTCTTTTCCATATTGGCTATCCTAAATTGTGTGAGGTGATACCTCATTGTGGTTTTAATTTACATTTCCCTGATAATTAGTGATGTGGAGCATCTTTTCGTGTGCCTGTTGGCCATCTGAATTTCTTCTTTGGAGAAGTGTCTGTTCAGATCCTGCACCCGTTTTTTAATCTGGTTATTTGGTTTTTGGGTGTTGAGGCATGTAAGTTCTTTATATATTTTGGATGTTAACCCCTTGTCTTATTTTTTAAAATTACAAAAGTAAATCATGCTTGGAAACATTTAAGCAATTCATTGTATGTAGTAGAGTAAACATTTAAGAGAGTAAACATCGTATGTAGAAAAATATTTAAGCAACTCATTGTATGTAGACTAAAAAGGCAGGTCTCTCCTTTATATACCACTCTTCCCAGTTTAATTCCTTTGCCCAAATGATACTATGGACTTTGTTAGGCATTCTTCAGACCCTTTAAAAAATATATCTTGAAACAGGTATACATGTACACGGCACTTACATATGGAGCCTTTAATACATCTTCAGCTTCTTTCACTTTGTAAATATACAGCTGGCTGGCTTTCATGTCAGTGCGCACAGTATGTCTCATTTAATGCGTGTGTGGTCCTGTGGAGACGGATGATCTAGTTTTATTGCTCGTGTGTGCTTGGATGAACATGTAGTTAGATGGCTGAAAACATCTCACATATTTTAATTTATATTTTCCTGACTATACTACCAGTATGGGAAATTATATTTTCATATAAATAAAATACAGTTTTCATATAATTTTTATCATTCCTCCTTCCTCTTTTGTGTTCTTACCCTCTGACCATTTCTCCACTTGGTTACTTTTCTGTTTCTGTTGACTTGAACCCTTTTTATATGTAATATGCCTCTTGATTAAACTTGTTTCTCCTGGTCGTTCATTGTCAGTCTTGGATAGTCTAGGTCCCATCATCAGCAGTGACACCAGAGTTACTGCTTCTTGTCCAATAGGACTTTTCCTTTAAGTTATAAAGTGTCTCCCCTTCCCCCCCCATTATTTTCCTAACACTGGTCTGGGCCTTGTAATTTTATCTTTAATCAGCTTTTCTTTGAATAGGTATATTCTGTACACACACACACACACACACACACACACACACACACACACGCAAGTGTATGTATTTGAATAGCTGGAACCCCATAGAGACGTGGACATGGCCTGGTACATGGGGCCCCCCAGCCCCATGTCTTGAGTTTGTTGCTGGTCTTTGTCCTTATGTGGCTCATATTTATCTTTCCAGATTCTGAGAATATTTAGTTAACATATTCCGTGATTTATCTCAGAGTCATCCTTTCAGTAAAGTATTATCTTATTATTTCCTTAAGTAAAACTTGTTTCAATCATTTTCCAATTTGGGGGGGGATTTCTGATTATTTTGTAATGCTTATTTTGTGTTTAGTGTGTTCTGAGAAACTTCACACAAGAGCAGATGATATTTAGTTTAAATACATAGATTTTTTTCAGGAACTCTGGCCTTTCTTTCTTTTCCATAACAGATTGTTTACCCCCTTTGAGTTCATTGCATGTCCCAGAGTAACTTATAACTGTTTCCCAGTCTATCTATGGAGAAGGATCAGGGTTTTTTTTGTAATTTATAATCTGTCATGAGTCAATTCTTTTGTAAAAATGATGCAAATTTTACTAGGAAAATATTGGAATAAATAGACAAAATTATTCTGATAAATTGCTATAGAAGTTTCTAAATCTTATTGTTAATTTCTGTGCTTAATCTTGTAGAGGACAAAAAATTCACTGATTGGCACACTGCATACTGCACTTTAAGGAATACAGGTTTAAGTCTGGAGAGTTTAAAAGAGCCAAATAGGTATAAAAGGCTCACTATTCAAACCCACCCCTTTTTGCTCCAGATTCACACAACCTGGGGTCGTCTTTCAACTTTTATTTCCTTAGGTATTTGACTTTGTGTTTTGCAATAATGAGCTATGAGCATAGACGATGAAAAGGCAATTGATGAAATTCAATACCTGTTTTTGACTTTCTGCTTTTAAATGATCTCTTTGAAATGCCAGCTGTGAAGATTAGAAAATCAGGGTGGGAGTACAGGTGATCGTGGTAGCAGTTGTACCAGCTAGTGCTGAGCATGTGCCATGCGCCACTCCCGTCGTCCGTACGTCCTGCCCACATTCTAAGGTTTACTCCACCACAGCTCCACGCATACACACAGGTACTGTGTCTAGACAGGCGACCCAGGTGCTGAGACTACCTTCATTTTAAGATGAGGTCTCAGTCACAGTACTTCAGCTATCATCCACTTTCTCTTTCCCTTTCTCAATTTGTATTGGTTTTATCAATCCTACATACGGCCTCAAATATCCTCTGTTATCTTCCTCCTTCCAGCTGGACAGCCCTATTCACATTTAGGTTTATAGTAGGGTCACTGGTTTTGTAACAAAAGTTTACATTTCTCCTTCCTGCCCTCTAATGATTGCTAAGGGAAGATTGGGGACCCTCGCTGTGCTGCCATGTTCCACCTGGAGGCTGAGGTCTTTTTAATGTATTTACCAACAGAACGATATGACGACTGTACGCCTGCGCTGGGGAGATATACTTATGCCGTTGCTTAAAAAATACAAGCTAAACATCACATGGGGTGATCAAGATCTATTGAATATCATATTTTTTCATAATCCAGGTAATGATTTAAATTTTTTTCTTTGCATTTATAAAACGTAATCAGATATATTTAGTTGAAAATAGAGAAATGCATTTACTTGATTTTGGCTGATATTAACAGTCATTCACTGTTTATGTTTGACAGACTAGAACTTCTCTTAAATATTGATTTAGTAGGAAGAGATCTAAATGCAAAACATGTTTTTTATAATTTTAAACCTTAAAGTTTAAGAGCTGTTTTTTAAACTAAATTTTTATAAACTGTCAATTCTGTGGACTTAGGGTTATTTACTTCATTGCTTTGTCTTTCTCCACATAGAAAGCCTGTTTGTTTTTCCGTGTCAGTGGAATTATCGGCCAGACCATTGTCTGTATGGAAGCAACTGCCCAGAAGCAGAAGAGGACGGGATCTTCATTCTTCACGGGAACAGAGGTGTTTACCACGATGACAAGCAACCAGCCTTTAGAGCTATGTATGAGGCCCTGAGAAACGTAAGCGTTTGTGGTTTTTTTTTTATTTTTTTGAATTGTGGAAATACTTTCAAGCTTAGAGAGAATTTGCAATAGTACAAAGAACTTCCAGATCTGTTACTCAGGTTTATCAGTTATTAGCCTTTTACCCCATTTGCTTTATCAATGGTTCTCTCTCTTATATATACTTTGTTTTTTTCTGAACGATTTGACTAAGTTGCGTGCATAATGCTTTCTTACCTCTAAGAACGTCAGTGTGTTTTCACTAAGAATGAGGACATTCTCTTATTAACTGCAGTACAGATATTAAACTCAGGAGATTTAACTGATAAAATTCTTCAGTCTATCGTCCCTATATGCTGATTCTCCTTTGGTCTAGAACAGTTTCTCAGTCCCTCTTTGACATGGGCATTTCTGAAGAGCAGACTGCTCCTTCCCTGCCACTATCAGAGCATCCTGGGTCCTGGCTTGCCAGCCGCTTCCTTCGGACTAGGTCCGGGTGTGCCCTCCCGGCCAGGACACTGTGGAAGTGACTGTGTGCCCAGGATGTCGCACCCACAGTCACCCTGGCCTTCCTGCCCCTCACTGGCGGTGGTGTTCTCATCACTCAGGCAGAATGTCCAATTTCCCCACTGTGTAGTGATTTTTCCTCTTTGGCACAGACTAAGGGAAGGCCCTTCAAAGTCAGGTAAGGACCCTGCTTCCCATCGGAATTCCTGTCCTAGATCTGGTGTCCGCTCTTGGTTCCTGCTCGGACGCGTCTGTGTGGCGGTCGCAGACTGGAGACTCATTCCTGGAGGGAGAATTGCTGGGCTGAAGGTGCTGCCCCTCCCTCCCCACCCAGGGCTTGTCTGCCTTCTGCCCGCCATCTGAGAGGGGCCTGTGCCCCATGGGCTCATTTGGCTATTCTGATGATTGAGAAATGGAGTCTTAGTTTAGTTTTAATTTAGTTTCTCTTATGAATGAGGTGAACATCTCTGTATATGTTTAATAGGGCCATGTTTATATCTTTTTTTTTGTTAGTTGTCTTCCAAATCTTTGGCTTATTCTCCTATAGGTTTTTAAAAATAACTTTAATGATATGTGTCTTACATACCTCAAAGTTCACTCATTTAAAGTGTATAATTCAGTAGTTTTAGTGTAGTTACAGGGCTGTGCAACCATCACTGTGGGGAGTTTTGGTCTCTACTTGCTCTTCCCACCAACTGTTGCAAGTTCTTCTGTATATTGGGGTTATTAGTCCAGTATCCGGGATCTCTTGTAAATATTTTCTCCCAATTTGACTTTGTGGCATTTTTTTGCCAGACTTGTTTGTTTGCTTTTTAAAGATTTTATGTAATCATTTATCAGCCCCTTTTAAAAAAAGTAATAATCACAAAGCCTTTTCCTACCTACACTCAGCTAGAGAAAGATTCACCTATGTACTGTTTCGTTTATACATTCAGTCCTGTGTTCAATTTGAAATTTATTCTTTTGTATTGAGTGAGGAATGGATCTAATTTGACCTTATTCCAAATGGCTGTCTTGTCCCAGCACCATTTCTTTAAAAGTCTATCTTTAATCCAAAGATCTGAGATTCTGACTTTACCATGTGCTGGAGCCCCATCTGTGATTCCCGGATTTTCTGTTTTGTTCTGTTGGCCTGTCTGTTTGTGCGCTGACACTGCACTATGTAAATCACGCAGCTTTGTGCTGTGTTTGAATGTTGGGTAGAGCTAGCCCTCTGTATAGCCTGTCCTTCTCAGTGTTCCCTAGCTATTGGATATTTATTTTTCCACAAACGTCAACTCTTAACAACATTAAAACTTGGTGGTATCTTTGTTGGGAGTGTGTCAGCTTCATACACAGCTTCAGGGCTGCTGACATTTGGGTGATGCTGATATATCTTAATCAGGAACAGCGGCTGTCTGCGCACCTGTGTCTTCCAGGCATGTTTCAGAGTTCTCGTATAGGTCCTGATCATATCTTTGGGTCATGCTTAGGATTTTACCTTCTTTGTTGCCTTTGTAAGTGGGGTTTTCTCTTTTAAGCATTTGCTTTATACTGAGTTTGGGAAAGAATCACCCGGCCCCTCGCTGACCCTGGCCCCAGCTGTCCATGCCCTTTTCCCCTTGTTCTTACAGTCCTCTGTGTGATTAAGCTGTGTCGACTGGGGAAGCTGGTTCTATTTCATAATACCTCTAGACTGCTGCTTGAACTAGTCTCTGTGCATGTGTTGGGACCAAGATCAGGGGCAAACCCGAATGAGGCTGGGGTCTGCGGCTTTGCTGAGTCGCGTCACCGCTGTCCCTGCAGCCAGCTCCCTGGTGCCTGGGCAGGAGCACGTGTGGCCATGCACGTCTCACGGAGGTGCGCGCCGCTCTGCAAGGCTATGCCTAGCCTTAGGTGGACATGGGGACAAACTCTCAGTAAATCAGAGGAGTATGGGGTCAGGAGAAGGGCCTAGGCCCCTGTTTGCTAGATCCTCATTCTTATTATTTTATGACTGAAACCCTTTGGTCTAGTACAGCCTCATTAATAGAAATGAGGATAAAAATACTCAACTCTGTAACCCGCTGTGACAGAGAGTACCAGAACATGACTGAGTTGTGACAGTTTTGCCCTGAAGGGCTAGGGAAGCCTCGGGCCCGCCTGACGGGGAGGCGTTTGGAGTGGGCCCTGAAGGGTAAGTCTGCCAGGTGAGCAGGGGTTCTGGGCCAGGCACTGCCCGAGGAAAGGGCCCAGGGCTTGTGAGAAACCCACGAGAGGTCAGGTGCGGAGCTGTTCCCTTTGGCTGGAGTGGCAGGTGAACGTGGGCAGAGGTGGGCTAGGGTCGAGGAGGGACAGCGTCCTGTGAGGGTCATTGTCTGAAATGGTAAGGAACTCCAGTTTTCTCCTGGAAACCATGTTGCTCAAACTCGATGGTGGGCCAAGTGAGAACAGCATTATAGGCTACAGTGTTAGTGTATTATTTGCTAAGTTTCTTGTCCTATAAACTTGACAGATAAAGTTTCTGAATAATCAGTTTGTCACAATATAGCTGTACACACTGAAGAATTATAAAATTTAGTGTTGATGTTCAGTTTAATGTAGCAGACCTGTATGTGTTCAGAAATCAGTATCTTACTTTAATAATGCTTTATCTTGGGTTGTCAAAAGGTGATAAAAATGAAGAAATGTACTTTTGAGGTTCTGAGACTTAGCAGGATGGAAAAGAAATTCATTCCTATAAAAACGTGATCTCTTTGTTTCTTTTGAGCATTAAAAAAATAAAGGAATTAAAATCTCACTAGTTTTAGTTTTATTTGATGTTGTCGACCTTTTATAAATGTCTACCTTTAAAAAGATGAGTAATGTTTTTTAGTTGGTTAATTATACTATATTTCTAAAACGTTTTTAAAATAATTTCAAATATTGAATTAATGATTTTTTTACATTTGTTTTGGGTCTGTGTTAATTATAGCTCTGTCTGTTTTTCAACTTAATGAAGGTAATCTGTCTTTTTTGGTGCTCTTGGTTAGTGTTTTATCTTCCCTTATCTATTATTCAATGAGAGGCGTGATTTTTAAAAGAACTGCATCCAGACAAGGGTATTTATGCAAGTTTCACACAGAAGCTCAGTCATTGCCATGGAATGCAGCGAACAGTATGAATTATAAGGGATGGGAACCATCCTTAAAATGTGAATGCATGGCTATGACTGCCAGCAAACCAGTTTTTACAGTCTATACATATTGGTTAAATATTAGTTGTTGAGTGAATAAAAATATTAAGATTAAAAATTGCAAATTCAAAATGGGAACAAAACATTTTATTGCTCTATAAGGTACTTTCTGCTTCATATATTTCACTCTAAATTATTACATTTCCTGGTGTGTGTGTCAACTTTGAGTTACTTCACACCTGCTTTTATTTGCATAACTTTCCCTGCCAGGGCGCCTCCAGCGTCCCCGCCTGCCGCCCCTCCTCGTTTGGAAATGGTGTTCCGCGTCTCTTGGGCGGAACTGCCGTGCTGCCGTGTTTTTAGACCATGTTCTGTTCTTCAAGAGTGCCTCAGAGCACCAAACTGGTCACCTCGGCCTCGGCCCTTACCCTTGCCTTGTGGCTGACAGCCGCGTGTATAAAGTCTGTGCTCTGGCTGCTGCGCCCGCGCGGAGGCCAGGAGGAGCTGTGTCAGGACAGGCTTCTCTGCGGCGCTGATGGGTGGGCAGAGCTGTAGGCTGAGCACCAGGCGGAGGAAAGCCGAGGACAAGTTGGGCGCAGCACGCAGCATGGCAAGAGGCTGCAGGCGGGTCGGGAAGGGCGCTGGGGCTCTGGGCAGGGCACCCCTGGATGCAGGTCCCGGCCTGCACGACTCTGCGGGCCCTGCAGGGCAGTGACTTTAGGCTGTACGTACACAGGTGGGAATTTAGTGATTTATCATCTTCTCTCAGAGGTCGAATTACTTGTGTTATATGATGGGCTAAAAGTTCTAATTCATGAGGCACTGTTTTTATTTCAGTATATTCATCAAAAGACTTTTCTAGTGAGGAAAAAGTTTTAAACGAAAACACTGGGACTTAAATCACATGGAAATGAGTGAACTGGATCTCGAGTACTTCATATTCCTGGGAATTAACTTAAAAACACTGTGGTTATGTTTTCATTCTATTGTCATTTCATAATAAGAAAAAGACCACGCTTCAGTCTTTCCTTTATTATCTGCCTCTCAACCATGGTTGTCCAAGGGTTTTGTACTCGCTGAAGCTGTTCCATGGCAGTGTCCCTTGATAAACGTGGTAGGCCTTCACGAAGGGGGCCTTCTGCACTTTGGCTGCTGCTTTTAACCCAGGTACATTTAGGCATATCAGTATTCAGCACAGCACTTTTCCCAGCATCCCTCTGGAAACTGGGGCTGTTTGAAACTGACTTGGCCTGGCCTCAGTTGCTTGTCGGATGAGCAGTGCTGTGTGCTGGTGGGACACGTGGACTTTCGGGGCTTGGCAGCTGGGGTGGAATCCTGGCTTAGCCACTTACTAGCATTGCAACCGTGGGAAAATTCCCTCCCCCTGCCTTTGTTGCTTCATTATAAACAGGGTTAAATATATTACCTGTTTATGTCCTCACGTTGGTGTGAAGCGTGAATGCATTAGTGCGTATACAGGCATCTCGGAGATACCGCGGGTTCAGTTCCAGACCACACTACGGCACAGGTCTCAGTAAAGCAAGCCGCACGGCTGCTCTGATTTCCCAGTACATGTAAAGGTTATGGTTGCACTTTTCTGTAGTCTCTTCAGTGTACAAAACCATTATGTTTAAAACGGTGTACGTACCTTAATTTCAAAAATATTTTATTGCTGAAAAGCGCTGACCACCGTCTGAGCTCCCATGGACTTGTGATCTCTGCTGGTGGAAGGTCCTGCCAGGGTGTCGATACTACTGCTCAGGTGGCGACTGCGGCCGTTCCGTAGAATTAAGGCAGTGATATGTTTGTTACAACAATGGACTCTTCTTTCATGAACGATTTTTCTGTAGCATGTGATACTGTTTGACAGCATTTCAGCTGCAGAACTTCTTTCCAAACTGGAGTCAGTCCTCTCAAACCTGCTGCTGCTTTATCAGCTAAGTTTATGTCATATTCTAAATCCTTTGTAGTTATTTCAACAATGTTTACAGCATCTTCACCTGGCGCAGATTCCATCTCGAGAAACCACTTTCTTTTTCATCCATGAGAGCCAGCTTCTCATCCACTCAAGTTTTATCCAGAGATGCAGCAGTTCAGTCCCGTCTTCAGGCCCCACGTCTAGTTCTCGCTCTCCTGCTGTTTCCACCCCCCCTGCAGTGACTTCCTCCCCTGAAGCCTTGAGCCGCTCAGCATCATCCGTGAGGGTTCAAATGAGCTTCTTCCAGACTCCTCTTCATGTTGGTGTTTTGACCTCTTCTCATAATTTACCAATGTTGTTAATGACATCTAGAATGATGATTTCTTTTCAGAAGGTTTTCAATCTACTTTGACCAGATCCATGAGAGAAATCACTGATTATGGCAACTGTAGCCTTACTAAATGTATTTCTTAATAAGACTTGAAAGTCAATATGACCCCTTGATCCGTGGGCTGAGGAATGGATGCTGTGTGAGCAGGCATGAAACCACATGAATCTCACCCGTCTCTGTCAGAGCCCGGAGTGACCAGGCACACTGTCAGTGAGCAGCCATATTTTGAAAGGAATCTTTTGTTCTGAGCAGTAAGTCTCAACAGTGGGCTTAAAATATTCAGTAAACTATGTTATAAACACAAGTGCTGTCATCCAGGCTTTGTGGTCCCACTTACAGAGCACAGGCAGATTTAGCAAAGTCCTTAAAGGCCCCAGGATTTTCAGATGGTCAGTGAGCATTGGCCTCAACTTAAAGTCACCAGCTGCATTAGCCCCGACAAGGGGGTCAGCCTGTCCTTGGAGGCTTGGAAGCCAGGCACTGACTTCTCCTCTCCAGCTATGAAAGCCCTAGATGGCACCTTATTCCAAAACAGGGCTCTTTCATCTGCACGGAAAATCTGTTGTTTAGTGTAGCCACTTTTGCTCATTATCTTCTGGATAATTTGCTGCAGTTTCTCCATCAGCACTTGCTGCATCCCCTGTGTTTTTATGTTACGGAGACGCCTTCTTTCCTTAAACCTCATGAACCAACCTCTGCCAGCTCCCAGCTTGCACACAGCCTCCTCCCCTCGCTCCGCCTTTGGAGAACTGAAGACACGTGGGCTGGGGCCTTGCTGAGGCTGTGTTTTAAGGGACTGTTCGGCTAGGGCGATCTGTCCGGACCACTCACATTTCTCCGCATCGGCAGTGAGGCTGTTTCCCGTTGTTCCATCCGTGTGCCCACTGAGCAGCGCTTTAATTTCCTTCAAGGGTTTTCCTTTGCGTCATACCCTGGCTACTGGTTTGGTACAAGAGACTCGGCTTTCTGCCGATCCTGGCATTGGACATGTGACCCACCTTTCACTTGAACACATTAGGACCATTGTAGGGCTATGAATTGGCATAATTTCAATATTGTTGCATCTCAGGGAATAGGGAGGCCCGAGGAGAGGAGACGGGAATGGCCTGTCAGTGGGGCAGTAGGAACACACACACATTTATTAAGTTTGCCGTCTTATATGGGTGCAGTTCTTGATGCCCCAAACAATTACAATGGCAACATCGAAGATCCCTGATCGCAGACACCCTAATATGAAAATAATGAAAAAGTTCAAACTGTTGTGAGAATTCCCAAAATGTGACACACAGACACGAGTGAGCAAATGCCATTTGAAAAATGGCACCAACAGACGTGCTGGTTGGAGGGCTGCCACAGACGTCCATGTATAAAAAGCACGGTACCTGCGAAGCGCAATGAAGGGAAAGGAAACAGTGAAGTGACGATACGCCTGCGGAGCGCCTAGAACTGCGTGTGTCGTGTAGGAGGGCTTCCGACCGGCCCAGCTTCTAGTAGTTTCTTCCCGGCCCCTGCGTACTGGCTGTTCTATTTTCATTTCATTACATTCTTCCTAGTTAAGCTTCCCTTCTCCTTTTCTTTTGGTCTTCAAAACAGTTCTTGGATAATTATATCCAGTATATGTGATTGGGTTTTAAGTCACCCGGGAGTGACGGTCCCATGTCCACCTCTCTTCGAGGCTCAGGATCGCGGTGTCCCAGCGCTGCTGTGCGGTGGCGTCCGGTCGTCCCCTGTCTGCGGATGGGCCGCGGCTCCCTGCACACCCGCCGGCGGCGGCGCCAGGGTCAGGGGGCCTGGGCGTGACCTCAGGTCGCTTGCAGCACCCCTGGAACGCAGGCTCCGGATTTCCTTTGGATCTTGCATTTTTCCCTGACTTTAAACTTTCATGTAAAATGTACCTTCAAGCCCCATCCATCTTTCTAATTGAAAATGTACCTAGTTTGCCGTGGCTGAGTCAAAAAATACACCTGGGTGAAAATAGTAAGGTGACAGGTTATTTCCACTCAGCTCCTCCACAGTGTTTTCCAAAATATGGTCATTGGGATATTAATATATTTTAGAGAAAAAAAGGACTCTGGTCAAAAATATATTTATGAATATATATTGAATATATACATGAGCCAGGTCTCCAGCAGATGCAATTTCTGTGTTACTGTTGAGAGCCCTTCCCGTGCCAGCGTGAGTCCCCGCAGAGAGCACGTGGGATCCACAGCCCCGAGCGTATTCGCCCTGGGAACCCCTCCATGCGGTCGCGGGAGCTTTGGGGTGCGCCGACTGAGCTTTAGCTTTGCACCCTCCCTCTCGGAGCCGTTCTCTCCTTACTTTCCAGTCCAGCCTCAGCGCTGTTACCAGAGCACTTTCTGCCATTGATTAGCTTCTCTCAGACCCCTTGAGAGCACCTGGTGCTCATCTCACCAGGCCAGTAGCTGTGGTCCCTGTGCCCTTGAACATCTTACCTGGGCTTGGAGGGCCCTACCTGCGCTACCTCCCTGAAAAGCTTTCCCTGACCCCCCGGTGGCTTACCATGCTCCTCTCCCTCCTCTAATGTGAGATCATAGTTCTGTTTAATTCACTGAAAATAATTGTTGAGCGTATACTTTTTGTGAGGCTTTAAATGAAGGGTGTCAACATTAAATTAATAGAAGAGTTTGGAATAAAATTAAATTTATATATATATTTTTGTTTTTTATTTTCTTTCTCTAGTGTTCTTTTGAAGATGACAACATCCATTCCTTATTAAAGCCTTTAGAACTGGAACTGCAAAAGACAGTGCATACATACTGTGGAAAAATTTACAAAATATTTATCAAACAATTAACAAAAAGTGTAAGAGACCGTTACAACAGAACGCCAAAGAAAGGCGGTTCGTGGTGACTGCCGAGTCCAGTGCATTAAAACGAAGTATCAGAGGATATGTATGAAGGAATCGTCCTGCATGAAGTGTCTAGGAGGAAGTATTCATCCTGAGAATGATTTTTTTCCCCGAAGAAGTTACATTAGCAGTATATCCACGCAATGAAGAATAAGTTCAGGTCTGCGATGCCAGCAAGACGTTTTTGATCTCTGATGTTTTGTAGCATTGTTTGTTTTGAGTTACTTCACACCTGCTTTTATTTGCATAACTTTCCCTGCCAGGGCGCCTCCAGCGTCCCCGCCTGCCGCCCCTCCTCGTTTGGAAATGGTGTTCCGCGTCTCTTGGGCGGAACTGCCGTGCTGCCGTGTTTTTAGACCATGTTCTGTTCTTCAAGAGTGCCTCAGAGCACCAAACTGGTCACCTCGGCCTCGGCCCTTACCCTTGCCTTGTGGCTGACAGCCGCGTGTATAAAGTCTGTGCTCTGGCTGCTGCGCCCGCGCGGAGGCCAGGAGGAGCTGTGTCAGGACAGGCTTCTCTGCGGCGCTGATGGGTGGGCAGAGCTGTAGGCTGAGCACCAGGCGGAGGAAAGCCGAGGACAAGTTGGGCGCAGCACGCAGCATGGCAAGAGGCTGCAGGCGGGTCGGGAAGGGCGCTGGGGCTCTGGGCAGGGCACCCCTGGATGCAGGTCCCGGCCTGCACGACTCTGCGGGCCCTGCAGGGCAGTGACTTTAGGCTGTACGTACACAGGTGGGAATTTAGTGATTTATCATCTTCTCTCAGAGGTCGAATTACTTGTGTTATATGATGGGCTAAAAGTTCTAATTCATGAGGCACTGTTTTTATTTCAGTATATTCATCAAAAGACTTTTCTAGTGAGGAAAAAGTTTTAAACGAAAACACTGGGACTTAAATCACATGGAAATGAGTGAACTGGATCTCGAGTACTTCATATTCCTGGGAATTAACTTAAAAACACTGTGGTTATGTTTTCATTCTATTGTCATTTCATAATAAGAAAAAGACCACGCTTCAGTCTTTCCTTTATTATCTGCCTCTCAACCATGGTTGTCCAAGGGTTTTGTACTCGCTGAAGCTGTTCCATGGCAGTGTCCCTTGATAAACGTGGTAGGCCTTCACGAAGGGGGCCTTCTGCACTTTGGCTGCTGCTTTTAACCCAGGTACATTTAGGCATATCAGTATTCAGCACAGCACTTTTCCCAGCATCCCTCTGGAAACTGGGGCTGTTTGAAACTGACTTGGCCTGGCCTCAGTTGCTTGTCGGATGAGCAGTGCTGTGTGCTGGTGGGACACGTGGACTTTCGGGGCTTGGCAGCTGGGGTGGAATCCTGGCTTAGCCACTTACTAGCATTGCAACCGTGGGAAAATTCCCTCCCCCTGCCTTTGTTGCTTCATTATAAACAGGGTTAAATATATTACCTGTTTATGTCCTCACGTTGGTGTGAAGCGTGAATGCATTAGTGCGTATACAGGCATCTCGGAGATACCGCGGGTTCAGTTCCAGACCACACTACGGCACAGGTCTCAGTAAAGCAAGCCGCACGGCTGCTCTGATTTCCCAGTACATGTAAAGGTTATGGTTGCACTTTTCTGTAGTCTCTTCAGTGTACAAAACCATTATGTTTAAAACGGTGTACGTACCTTAATTTCAAAAATATTTTATTGCTGAAAAGCGCTGACCACCGTCTGAGCTCCCATGGACTTGTGATCTCTGCTGGTGGAAGGTCCTGCCAGGGTGTCGATACTACTGCTCAGGTGGCGACTGCGGCCGTTCCGTAGAATTAAGGCAGTGATATGTTTGTTACAACAATGGACTCTTCTTTCATGAACGATTTTTCTGTAGCATGTGATACTGTTTGACAGCATTTCAGCTGCAGAACTTCTTTCCAAACTGGAGTCAGTCCTCTCAAACCTGCTGCTGCTTTATCAGCTAAGTTTATGTCATATTCTAAATCCTTTGTAGTTATTTCAACAATGTTTACAGCATCTTCACCTGGCGCAGATTCCATCTCGAGAAACCACTTTCTTTTTCATCCATGAGAGCCAGCTTCTCATCCACTCAAGTTTTATCCAGAGATGCAGCAGTTCAGTCCCGTCTTCAGGCCCCACGTCTAGTTCTCGCTCTCCTGCTGTTTCCACCCCCCCTGCAGTGACTTCCTCCCCTGAAGCCTTGAGCCGCTCAGCATCATCCGTGAGGGTTCAAATGAGCTTCTTCCAGACTCCTCTTCATGTTGGTGTTTTGACCTCTTCTCATAATTTACCAATGTTGTTAATGACATCTAGAATGATGATTTCTTTTCAGAAGGTTTTCAATCTACTTTGACCAGATCCATGAGAGAAATCACTGATTATGGCAACTGTAGCCTTACTAAATGTATTTCTTAATAAGACTTGAAAGTCAATATGACCCCTTGATCCGTGGGCTGAGGAATGGATGCTGTGTGAGCAGGCATGAAACCACATGAATCTCACCCGTCTCTGTCAGAGCCCGGAGTGACCAGGCACACTGTCAGTGAGCAGCCATATTTTGAAAGGAATCTTTTGTTCTGAGCAGTAAGTCTCAACAGTGGGCTTAAAATATTCAGTAAACTATGTTATAAACACAAGTGCTGTCATCCAGGCTTTGTGGTCCCACTTACAGAGCACAGGCAGATTTAGCAAAGTCCTTAAAGGCCCCAGGATTTTCAGATGGTCAGTGAGCATTGGCCTCAACTTAAAGTCACCAGCTGCATTAGCCCCGACAAGGGGGTCAGCCTGTCCTTGGAGGCTTGGAAGCCAGGCACTGACTTCTCCTCTCCAGCTATGAAAGCCCTAGATGGCACCTTATTCCAAAACAGGGCTCTTTCATCTGCACGGAAAATCTGTTGTTTAGTGTAGCCACTTTTGCTCATTATCTTCTGGATAATTTGCTGCAGTTTCTCCATCAGCACTTGCTGCATCCCCTGTGTTTTTATGTTACGGAGACGCCTTCTTTCCTTAAACCTCATGAACCAACCTCTGCCAGCTCCCAGCTTGCACACAGCCTCCTCCCCTCGCTCCGCCTTTGGAGAACTGAAGACACGTGGGCTGGGGCCTTGCTGAGGCTGTGTTTTAAGGGACTGTTCGGCTAGGGCGATCTGTCCGGACCACTCACATTTCTCCGCATCGGCAGTGAGGCTGTTTCCCGTTGTTCCATCCGTGTGCCCACTGAGCAGCGCTTTAATTTCCTTCAAGGGTTTTCCTTTGCGTCATACCCTGGCTACTGGTTTGGTACAAGAGACTCGGCTTTCTGCCGATCCTGGCATTGGACATGTGACCCACCTTTCACTTGAACACATTAGGACCATTGTAGGGCTATGAATTGGCATAATTTCAATATTGTTGCATCTCAGGGAATAGGGAGGCCCGAGGAGAGGAGACGGGAATGGCCTGTCAGTGGGGCAGTAGGAACACACACACATTTATTAAGTTTGCCGTCTTATATGGGTGCAGTTCTTGATGCCCCAAACAATTACAATGGCAACATCGAAGATCCCTGATCGCAGACACCCTAATATGAAAATAATGAAAAAGTTCAAACTGTTGTGAGAATTCCCAAAATGTGACACACAGACACGAGTGAGCAAATGCCATTTGAAAAATGGCACCAACAGACGTGCTGGTTGGAGGGCTGCCACAGACGTCCATGTATAAAAAGCACGGTACCTGCGAAGCGCAATGAAGGGAAAGGAAACAGTGAAGTGACGATACGCCTGCGGAGCGCCTAGAACTGCGTGTGTCGTGTAGGAGGGCTTCCGACCGGCCCAGCTTCTAGTAGTTTCTTCCCGGCCCCTGCGTACTGGCTGTTCTATTTTCATTTCATTACATTCTTCCTAGTTAAGCTTCCCTTCTCCTTTTCTTTTGGTCTTCAAAACAGTTCTTGGATAATTATATCCAGTATATGTGATTGGGTTTTAAGTCACCCGGGAGTGACGGTCCCATGTCCACCTCTCTTCGAGGCTCAGGATCGCGGTGTCCCAGCGCTGCTGTGCGGTGGCGTCCGGTCGTCCCCTGTCTGCGGATGGGCCGCGGCTCCCTGCACACCCGCCGGCGGCGGCGCCAGGGTCAGGGGGCCTGGGCGTGACCTCAGGTCGCTTGCAGCACCCCTGGAACGCAGGCTCCGGATTTCCTTTGGATCTTGCATTTTTCCCTGACTTTAAACTTTCATGTAAAATGTACCTTCAAGCCCCATCCATCTTTCTAATTGAAAATGTACCTAGTTTGCCGTGGCTGAGTCAAAAAATACACCTGGGTGAAAATAGTAAGGTGACAGGTTATTTCCACTCAGCTCCTCCACAGTGTTTTCCAAAATATGGTCATTGGGATATTAATATATTTTAGAGAAAAAAAGGACTCTGGTCAAAAATATATTTATGAATATATATTGAATATATACATGAGCCAGGTCTCCAGCAGATGCAATTTCTGTGTTACTGTTGAGAGCCCTTCCCGTGCCAGCGTGAGTCCCCGCAGAGAGCACGTGGGATCCACAGCCCCGAGCGTATTCGCCCTGGGAACCCCTCCATGCGGTCGCGGGAGCTTTGGGGTGCGCCGACTGAGCTTTAGCTTTGCACCCTCCCTCTCGGAGCCGTTCTCTCCTTACTTTCCAGTCCAGCCTCAGCGCTGTTACCAGAGCACTTTCTGCCATTGATTAGCTTCTCTCAGACCCCTTGAGAGCACCTGGTGCTCATCTCACCAGGCCAGTAGCTGTGGTCCCTGTGCCCTTGAACATCTTACCTGGGCTTGGAGGGCCCTACCTGCGCTACCTCCCTGAAAAGCTTTCCCTGACCCCCCGGTGGCTTACCATGCTCCTCTCCCTCCTCTAATGTGAGATCATAGTTCTGTTTAATTCACTGAAAATAATTGTTGAGCGTATACTTTTTGTGAGGCTTTAAATGAAGGGTGTCAACATTAAATTAATAGAAGAGTTTGGAATAAAATTAAATTTATATATATATTTTTGTTTTTTATTTTCTTTCTCTAGTGTTCTTTTGAAGATGACAACATCCATTCCTTATTAAAGCCTTTAGAACTGGAACTGCAAAAGACAGTGCATACATACTGTGGAAAAATTTACAAAATATTTATCAAACAATTAACAAAAAGTGTAAGAGACCGTTACAACAGAACGCCAAAGAAAGGCGGTTCGTGGTGACTGCCGAGTCCAGTGCATTAAA